CTATTCTATCTGTGATACTATTGTACAACTTTTCTGACATTTCACATACCCTGACCAGCTTCCTAAGCCTGAATAATCACAACTACATTCATCAGATCAATGATGAACCAACTTCAGTTTGTGTGAGATGCCAAGGCAAGAACCCAGGGTTCCAGAAATTCTACGCCAATGTCACAGCAATGACAAATGACACACAAGCCTGATAGCCTGATATATTGTTCAGCATATGGTTAAATTCTGGACTACTCAGAAACACAACCTCGTCTCTCTTCTCATGATAATTTAGTTCCCTTGCCAAGACCCATCCTGGCTGAAGCCACACACAGGTCTGGCCACATCTGCAAGGTTTTTCATAAATCCGCATCAGAAAACCAAGCAGGTGCTCCCTGCCTCAAGTTCTTTGTGATAGGTACTTGAGTACACCTCGTTAGAAAATCCATCTGCTAGAGACAAGTACAGGAAGGACAGCCGGTGACAAGTGATGCATTTTTCATGGGGGCCTCTTCAGGACCAAGGGCCCTCCTGACAGTGTGCTTGCTTGCCCGGCAAGGACAGAATGGGCTCTGAGCTTCTCGAGGCAGGGCTAGGACTTGGGAAGGGCAGGCGGCACTGGAGGAGGTACAGAGCCTCACTGAGGTTCTGCCCCACTTTCAATCAGTACGAAGTTAATTTCGCATGTGTATAAAGGGAAGGGTAATAAAAGGTCATAAGAAAAAAGATACTTTAATGAGTCAGCAAAGTAATGAAAAGACAATAATTGCCTTCAGAATTGAGAACAGCAAGACAAAAGGAAGCACTGGAGAGAAATCAGGACATCCTCAAAGTCTGCTCATGGCTGGCCATTTGGCTAATGCTGGAAACTCAGAGACAATAGGCCATAATAGCCATCAGCAGTCCCATCCTCAAAAATAAAGCCATCAATGACTGAGTCGCCATCAATGATTGAACCGACCCCACAGGAGACAGCAGTACTCCTCCTGGGGGAAAAGCTCCCCAGAAAATACAAAGGGCCCAAACCCAAGAAAAGGACAACAATATACTCAGAGAGAGGTCAAAGTGGAGGTACCCAGAATACAGTACATCTAATCAAGAAGGAAATTGTCTGTATTTTCTAATTTATAATACAATCCCATTTCTAGCCCTTTTAAGCCTGATATTTGTATTCCCACAGAGGCATTACTATTAAAACTGAAATTAATGGTCATACAAACACCCAATTAATCTGGAATACACATAAATGATAGTCCTAACAAATCTATTTCATTGTTGCCTAATCCAATTCAATTTTGTTTTTCTGTAAGAAAATACATTATAAATTTCAACTAAGGAGGCCAAGAGCACACATTTCCTCTTGGTTTCTTGATTTGTCTTTTAAGCCACAGGGGACACAGGCTAATCGAATGGACTATAACAGAAAAACTAGCACAGGTGTGGGAGGTATGGAAGAGGCAGCCTCCTGCCAGGCTATAGATATTGATATAGGTGGGCACATGAGGTAAACCATGTCTCCAGGCCAGGCTCCAAGGAGGCATCCAGAGATCCTCCCAGGGCTAAATCAGACCCAGAACTACCCCAGTGTCTTTAGAGCTCAAGGGTGGAATGTACACCAGGCTTGCACTAGGTGAGGACACTCAGTGCAATGACTTTCCTGCTGTGGATCTGCACCAGCCTTACCCAGCAGGAGGCCCTGCTTTATTCCACCCCATCCCCTGAGGAGCAGAACAGCACAGATTTCTACTGCAGAAAAATCATAACCACTGGAATAATCAAACTGCCCTGTGATCTCCACCAGTCATCATACTGGTAGTGCTGGAAGGGCCACTGGTTCAACTAGCAAGTATTTACTCTTGAAGAATTATGTATTTCTCTACTAGTAAGGGTTTTTGTACTGGGAATGGTGGTACACACCTGTAATCCCAGTACTCAGAAGGCTAAAGCAGGAAGACTGGCCACCTGGGCTACATAGCAAGACCCTGTTTCAAGTAGGAATAATAATAATGATGATAATAACAGTAATAATAATAATAATAATAATAATAATAAATCCCAACACTTGTCAAGCTGAGCCAGGAGGATTGAGAGTTTGAGGCCAGCGTAGGCTACCTAGCAAGTTGTAGGCTACAAAGACAGACCAGGTATCAAAAAAGAATAAAAATAAAAACTTAACCATAATGATAACAATTGGGTCTTTTTACTAATACTATAGTTCCACAACAAGATTTGCTGAGTACAACAGCACTAAGATTTCTAAAAAGGAATGTGGCTTATGCTGACTCAGAATGAAGCAAAAAAGAAAAAAAAAAAAAAATAGTTGTGCAGACTCAATGATGAAACTCCAGGAACCTCCATACATTTGAAAATAGAGGTGAGGACTGCTCGCTCTACCCCTGCACTTGCCTGGCTCCACCCCTGCACTCAGCGTGCTACATCCACCACACCTGCACTTATACTCTGGATTTCCTACTGGAGCCAAGAAAAACTGCTTAGCCAGTCTGAAGAGTATTAATTTACAAATACCAATCAGTTCTACCTGGAAAATCTTTCTGTCAAACCTACTGACGAATAAATCTATTTTGCTGACATGGTGACATTTTTGTCAGGTCAAATAACTAAGGTATGAAAAAAAAAATCCCCCATGGGAATTCTGAGTAACTTGAATATCCTATGGAATAAAATTGGGGGTCTGAGAACGTTGGTAGGGTGCTTGCCTAGCATGCGTAAAGCTTTGGGTTCAATTCCTCAGCAGAAAAGGCCAGATGTGGTGCTGTGGCTCAAGTGGTAGAGAGCTAGCCCTGAGCAAAAAAGAAGCTCAGGGACAGTGCTCAGGCCCCGAGTTCAAACCTCAGGACTGGTTAAAAAAAAAAAAAAAAAAATTGGTGGCAGGGCTCCTCACACACTTAGAACTCACCATAGAGCAGCTCCAGTCTTCCGCCTCAGAAGGCTTTGTGAGAGCCCATGAAGGCAGTATGCATTTAGAAAACAAAAAATTTACACATACACATGAATGGAGGGAGGAAGGGTGATATCAACGTACACTATGTAAAACTTGAACTACATAGGGCAGGGATAGGAAAGGGACAAGAGAGAACCATGGGGGGTGACACTGACTAAGATGCACTGTATTCAAAACCTGATGTATGGCATTGTGACTCTTTGTACAACTTCTTAATAATTTTTTTCAAAAAAGAGAGGAAATAAAAACTGCCCCTTTTAGGAGGGGAAGGGAAATAACAAAACGCTGAAACATGGATACAGGTTGACCCATTATAACAATGAGACGTACAAGATACTATGTTGAAAATGAACTTCACAACTTGGGGGGGTGGGGAGTTGGGGAGGGAAGGTATGGTAGGGAAAAAACAAAGGAGTGGGTAACAATGCTCCATAGGAAATGTACTTATTACCTTACTCCTGTAACTGTAACCTCTTTGTACAGTATCTTTACAATAAAAACATATACTTAATTTTTTTTTAAAAAAACTCCACTTTTAGTCAGGTGTAGTGGCACATACCTATAATCTTAGCACTCAGGAGACTAAGGCAGAAGGATCAAAAATTCAAGGCCAGCCTGACCTACATAGGGTAACTGTTTCAAGAAAAAATTTTTAAAAGTTCCTCGTTTGTATTTTATGCCACTTGAACAGGAAGAGAAACCATCAGAGATACCAACGCTTAAGTTTGCCCAAGGTTAGGAGCCAGCCACCCCATTCACACCAGCAAGCCCCTCAGACACACCTGTCAGACCGCGAATCCCTGCACTCACTGGACTCAACTATCACATCCCATTAGCATGTATAACATCGACTTCATGACTTATTCATTACGGATGTCCATTTAAAGTGTATCTGCAGAAATGTTCCTGTCATAAAATTTACTATCAAACCTCAGACCTGAACTTGGCCTCAAGGACATCTCAGGACAGAGGTTTTCCTCCAGGAAATCTCTCGTGGAATTAAAGTCTGTACCCAGGACTGTACCCCACCACCTGCTCCACCCAGGACCCAGTTCATTCAAGGAGACTCCAGGACACATGGCCAGGAGATACAGCCTTAGTCACTGCCCCATTACTTAAGGATTTAACGTCTCTTTAAGGACTAAAACAAAAACAAAGGTGTTTGACTATAATGATAAAATCCTGGCATTCCTGGTGTTTGGTATTACTATCCGTAGCTATTTTGGTTTGGTTTGGTTTTGTGTAGGTCCTGGGGCTTGAACTCAGGGCCTGGGTGCTGTCCTGAGCTTCTTTTGAGTAAGGCCAGTACTCTACCTCTTGAGGAACAGCTCTACTTCCAGCTTTTTTGGTAGTTGATTGTAGATAAGAGACTCACAGACTTTTCTGCCTAGGCTAACTTCCAACTGCAATCCTCAGATTTCAGCCTCCTGAGTAGCCAGGATTATAGGTGTGAGCCACTGGTGCCTGGCCATTCTATTTTTTTAATCTGAAAATAGCTGTTAATTTTACATATCAACTCAGATGGGCCACGGACATGAGCCCAGACATTTAGTCATACATTATTCCAGATGTTTCTGTGAAGGTGTTTTTCAGATGAGATGGTAGACTCTGAGTAAGGCTACTGTCATGTACACTGTAGGTGGGTCCAGGCAGGGAAGGCCTAAATAGAACAAGGTCTGGCAGCATGGCAAGAAGAGATTCAGCCAGTAGACTTTGGTCTTGAACTTGTCACTCTTCCCTGAATCTCTAGCCTGCCAGTTTCCAACCAGCCAGCCAGCTCAATCATATTTTAGACTCCTCAAGGCCAACAGAATTTCGTTATCAATTCCAAAGTGAATGAGTCAAGCTAATTCTGTGAAACATACTTCTGTGAAACTCATACCCTGAGGGTACCACATTGCAAATTATCAACTGAACTTCTTCTATCAAATAGGATAGAAAAGGTAAAATACCCTCAGCCTTTCAAGGAAGCTTGTCTCCCGCTCAAGCCCTCTGCAGTCTGACTCAGGCCACAGCAAGGCAACCCAGTAGAGAGAGGCAACAGTACCTTTAAACTGCCTAATCATGTGCTGATGGCTTTCGATGGCTTCCTTTAAGATCATCTCTGGCTGGTCCATCTTCCACCGCCATTCAGTGCCCACAGGGTTGGTGTGATGCCTAAGAACAAAAGGCAAAGTTTTCAGGGCTCCTATAATGATGTCTCAGCTACTCACTCCCAACTACCAGAGCTCAGCTGTTGGTAGCAGCATCTTCCAACCTACTACAGGTCAGGATACCAAGCAAGGAGGGAGTTACTGGACGACTCTGCCCAACTCCTGACTGCTGAGTGCTTCCTGGTTTTAATGTTAGCGAGGTATGCACTCAGACACAAGCAGCAGTACATTGCCACCGTGCATGTCAACACTTTCCTCACTTTGTGAGGAAAGCTGGAACACTCACATTGGAATCATGGTGAGAGGACCTGAGAATGAGTGATGCTCAAACTGGGCAGAATGGCTCATGTCTGTTACCCAGCTACATTTTTAAAAATATTTTCAGCACTGGGGACCATCCTCAGGGTCTGCGCATGTCAGCTCTATGACTATAGCTCGGGTACTCGGCTTCTGAGATAGCCTTGGCTGATGTCATGTAGCCCTCGTGATCCTCCTGCCTAAACCACCAAGTTAGCAGCATCTGGCCCTAAAGTAACATTTCTCAAAAAGTATTATACTCATGTCAGATGTGGGGCCCACACCAGTAACCCAGAAGTTACATGGAGTCACATGGAAACTGGTAAAGATTTATAACTGAACAATAATTGAAATTTATGGACTGTGACTAAAGAACTGCTTAGAGATAAGATTATAATTGACTTATTATTAATATTAAGACCAAATATTAGTAAGCTAAAATCCCTGAAATCACAGAGAGAGAGAGAGAAATATATAGTAGTACATGAGTGAACTAGAAAACAACAATACAGTGGAGAGGTCCATTAACCTAAGTTAGTACTGCAAAAATATTTTTGAAAACTTGATGACTATAACCGCCTGTCAAAACATAAAGTTAGGAACTGCCAGGGGATTCAGAGCACTTCCATTAGCCTGACACCTGTACATGCCCAAGCAGGAGGCTCCACACCGATGACCAGGCCTTCCAGTCCACTCACCGCCAGCAGAAGACACACTTGTTTGCACAGGCCAGGCTAGGGGTGAGCTCCATGCAGCGGTGACTCTCGATGCCATAGAACGTGTGTTTATAACAGCCACCTCTCCCGCGAAGCATCGCCTGACAGGAAACACCAAATCACAATGCAAGTAAGATCATCAGGGTTCAAAATCAAAGCAGCAAAAGCGTTGACACTATAGAGTCGACACCATCGCCACATGGCCAAACAGACCCCTGGTGTTTACATGGCGCACAAACTCAATATCTTAGCATTATAGAATTTCCATACTGCTTTGGGTTTTCTAAAACCAGTGGAATAAACCTATGAGTATCTCCAAAAGTGCTATAGGGAGGAACACTAATACATCCACATACAAATCCATGGAAATACATCAAATAATATTTCAAAAATACACAGTGTCAGGAGAGAGGTAAGATAAGCTCCTGAACAGTGAGAGCAGTGCTCATATGCTTTGAGGAAGAGAAGGGGGAAGGGAACGCATCCTGGAGTAAGGTCATCCTCTATCCACTCAATGAGTAGACAACTTCAGGACACACAGAACATATACAAGACACAGATAATCCTGAAGGAATATTATTTAATGTGCAGATCAAACCACATATCACACGAGTGATAAAACCACTTACATCAGTTAAGAATAGCAAGAAGGTAGACTGGGAATATGGCTTAGTGGTAGAGGGCATGCATGAAGCCCTGGGTTTGACTCCTCAGTAGCACATAAACACAAAAAGCCAGAAGTAGCACTGTGGCTCAAGTGGTAGAGTGCTAGCCTTGAGCCAAAGAAGCTCAAGAACAGTGGCCAGGCCCTGAGTTTAAGCCCTAGGACCAGCAGAAAAAAAGACTAAGAAGAAGGTGATTTGAAGAAATGTCTTAGATCAAACTCAGGGCTAGACAATATTAACCTTTTTAAAGTATCATCAGAATGATTCATGGAAAACTCTATAAAAATGTGCTCCATTTTGGCAAAAGCAGAAGCAGGTAAGCCTATGAAGAGGCCTTGGAAGGGGTGAAGATGACTGGCTGTGAGCTCAGTTGGTGGAGGGATGAGGAAGGTACTACAGAGATAGAGACAGCAGGAGTGGGGGGGGGGGGGGGTACAAGGGCACTATATAGGCAGAGGCCACGCAACTCCTCCTGAGGGAGGAGCGGGTCATACAAAATAGTTGAGACTGTGGCCAGGTGACTGAAAGGAATGGAAGTAACAGCAGTTAGAGCAAGCAAAAAGAGTGAAAAACACAGATGAGGAAGGGAGAGGGGAACCCACCCATAGAAGACTACAACTGGCGCTATTCACTTGAAATTTTAAGAAAGAAAAACTAAATAACATCAGTAGCCATCAGAACAACAGCTCCCATGGAGAGGCACTGACTAGAACAGGCACAGGGAAATTCTCTGCGGGGAGGAAAGTAACTTAATCCTTCACTGGGTGGCACATGTGGGTTCTCTATCCATCCCAAGTGACTGAACTCATGTACAAAAAATTATCCAGAACTCTATATATTTTATTAAATGTAAATTCAATCTTTAAATAATAGACGTATTGTCTACATGTAGTAGCCACATAAATGCTGCATATAGCCACGTGCCAGTGGCTCACACCTATAATCCTAGCTACTCAAGAGGCTAAGATCTGAGAATCTAGGTTTAAAGCCAGCACGGGCAGGAAAGTCTATGAGACTCTTATCTCCAATTAACCACTAGAAAACCAGAAGTGGAGGTGGCTCAAGTAGTAGAACAACAGCCTTGAGCAAAAAAGCTCAGAGACAGTACCCAGCCTGAGTTCAAGTCCTAGAAATGGCATACACACACACACACACACACACACACAAAGCTGTATTTAATAGAAATAAAATTTGAATACAAATAGGTAAATACCTTTGTCCATCTGCACAGCTTCACCCCAGAGTGGCTCCCAATCAGCTGATAACCTGAATGGAAAAGCAGAAAACACAGAATTGAACCAATCCAGAGGATCCTAGCAGGACAAGATACGGAAATACAACAAAATCATTTCTTTGCTTAAATCTGGCAGTCAATAGGGTTGACAGAAAAACCAAAGGTTTGATTTACAAGGATGAGAAAACAACTTTAACCTGTTTATGTATCAGACAGCAAAGACTCAAGAGGAACCATAATCCAACCCAAAGTCACATGGGGACCTAACAGCTCAGAAGGCAAACACAGCTCAGAAAAGTCCCTGACCAACAACCACATGGTCCACAGTCCACAGTGCACAGTCTCCTCAAGAACCTATGGATTTATGAAAACAGACCCTATACCAAACCACAGAGCAAGTAGTGATGAATTTCAAATTAATGACCAGGAAACTATCCTTAGAAATCTCTAGGGGAAAAGAAATGAAGAATCAAAATGGCAACAGGAGACTAAAAGAAATATTGACTCAAAGGAGAAGTTGAATTCTAGGAACTGCAACCTGACATGAATTCTCCAAATCACCTGATCACAACAGATCACCTGAAAATTCTGAGCTACATACATGAACAACATAGCAAAGCCTCACACTTTCTTGTTAAACAGCTGGAAGAACAAACAAGTAGAACACTGTGATTCCAGAAAACATAAGGCCTCAGAGAACAGCCGCAGTGCTGAGCACATGTGCATTCAAGGTGTGATTATGGAGCACTGTCCATGTACCACAAGCCTCCATGGAAGCACTTTTATTCTTTCCCAAGCTCATGAAAACTTCTTAAATACAAATCAACAAATCAGCTGGGCACCAGCGGTTCACATTTGAAATGCTAGCTACTCAGGAAGCTGACATCCAAGGATCACAGTTTGAAGACAGCCTGGATAGAAAGGTCAGTGAGACTCTTACCTCCACTAAACTACCAAATAAGCTGCAAGCAGAGCTGTGGCTCAAGTGGGAAAGCACTAGCCTTAAACAAAAGCAGTGCCCAGGCCCAAAGGTCAAGCACCAGGAGTAGCATGTGCATGCATGCCCACACGCATGCCTGCGCATGCATGCACACACACACATACACACACACACAAATCAACAAATCACTGCTTATTTACTTGAAGACAGAACTGAGTCCACCTGAGTAAATACCCTCTGATACAACCCTCTGAAACAATCTCCAGAGAAAACTCTAGGTCTCCTCTTGGTTTCCTCACTATTCTGTTGAACTGCCAACACAAAATATGGCACATGTGTTCCTTCTCTGTCCCTCATGATATGCATGAGGCACATTCTGTTATGTTCCGTCTCTCAATCTCTCTCGCGACATGCACAGCTCTAAAAATTTTGTACTGAGCTATAAAAATCAATGCACATCACAAACAGAGATCAGAGCTCTGAGCTGACCAAATGTCACGGAAACCCAACAGTAACCAATGGTGAAAATCCTGGCACCGAATTTCAGCCAGGACAGAACAGGATTTACTCTTCCACTAAACACCAAAAAATGTGTGTGTGTGTGCATGTGCATTTGTGTGCCTACATGTATGCGTGCACTCACGCGCGCGCATGTGTGTGTGTGTGTCTTCAGGAGCCAAGACATCAGCAACAGAGGACAGTCCCCAGAGATGACAGGCAGGGCAGCAGGAAGGGGCAGCCCAAGCAAAGCCAATGGACTTGCAGAGCTGAGAAGAAAGAGCTGAGAGCTGGGAGAGACAAAGGTGGCTACAGAGAGCATGGGCACACAGAGAGACTCAAAAGCCTGCAGAGGATGAGTACCAGTTATAGCACGGGTGAGAGAACAGCTACCGAGGATGGGAAGGACCCGTGGTGTGTCCCGCTCTCACAGAACGGGGGATTGTACCTATTTACCAACTGAAACCTCAAGTCACACAGGCTTTGGGTAGAATGCACAGGACCCAATAGTGACCTGAAACTGATCTCACCTAACAGGTCATAAAAATGCATCTCAAAGCTCCGACTATTTCCAATTAACCTACATTGGTCCCAGAAAAATAAAGCTCAATGTGTATAACAGCATTTATATGAGGCTATCCAGCAACTAGTAAGGTAAAATTAGGTCTGGCATCCAAGTATGAGTACGTAGGAAAACATGAATATGGAAAATAATCCACCAGCAAAGCTGACCCAGAAATGAAAAGACATGCACACATGAGGGCATGACATGGAAGGCTATCTCATGGCTGAAGCAGCCAAGAGACAGAAGACTTATAAACCCAACCTGAGCTTCAAGAGAGGAAAACCACAGTATGAAAGAATAGAAAACACACAGGAAAAGATTAACAGGATAAATGAAGACACATAAGAAAAAACTAGCCAGGCGCCAGTGGCTCATGTCTGTAATCCAAACTACTCAGAAAGCTGAGATGTGAGGATTACGGTTCAAACTAACCACCAGAAAACCAGAAGTGGCACTGTGGCTCAAGTGGTAGAATGGTCTCCTTGAGCTGAAGAGCTCGGGGCAGCACCCAGACCCAGAGTTCAAGCCCTCCAACCAATCAAAACAAAAAGAAAAAAGGAAAAAAACTATCAAGCCTGAAGACCTAGCCACAGAAATGATCTAAAATGAAAAGACAAAGAAAAAAAAAAGAATTAAAAAGAAATCAGTAAGCTGTGGGTCGAACTCAGCCCATTACTCATATTGTTGCACTTCCGAAGGGAGGGGCAGGAGAGGAAAATCTTTAGAAGAAGTCAGGTGCTGGTGGCTCATGCCTGTAATCCTACTACAGAGGCTGAGATCTGAGGATCACAGTTCAAAGCCAGCCCTGGCAGGAAAGTCCATGAGACTCTTATCTCCAATTAACCACCAATAAGCTGGAAAGCTCAAGTATGCTACCCAGGCCCTGAGTTCCAGTGCTGACATTAAAAAAAAAAAATTACTGGAAGAAATTGGCTAAAATTTATCTAAATTTAATGAAAACTATAAATCTATAGAAACAAACAACAAAAAAAAAAAAACCTCAGCAAAACCCAAGTTAAAGAAACAGAAGTACAGTACAGTAAGATATATTACAAGTTGAGCAACCCTAATCCAAAAATCCAAAATTCAAAATGCTCCGAAGTTTAAAACATTTGGTAGTCACAAAGTTTCAGATTTTGGATTATTTGGGATTTTTCAATGAGGAATTCATACAAGCTAAGTAAAGTCTAGGCAAATATTACAAAATCCAAAAAACTCCAAAACTGGAAGCAAAGCAGTTTGAATAAAGAACACTCAACCTGTGTAATTCAACTGCCCAAAATCAGTAGTTAAGGGAAAATCCTAAGAGCAGTGTTATATTCAAAAGAACAAAATGAAAGGATGACGGACTGCCAAACTCCCATCAGAGGAAAGGTGAGCAGAAGGACAGGTTCAATCTTCAGGGTTTCATATCTCACTTGTCTGCTCTCACTTGTCCACTCAAATCTTACATATAGATGATATGACATATAATAAAGAAGTATAATGCTTCCAGCTATCAGAAGGTGGAGGTAACAGGATCATAAGTTTGAGGCCAGGCCAGGCGCTAGTGGTTCATACCTCTAATCCGAGCTATTCAAGAGGCTGAGATCTGAGAATCATGGTTCAAAGCCAGCCCAGGCAGGAAAAGTCCATGAAACTCTTTTTTTATTTATTTTTTTGGGGGGGGTCCGGTCGTGGGGCCTGAACTCTGGGCCTGGGCGCTGTCCCTTAGCTCTTCAGCTCAAGGCTAGCGCTCTACCACTTGAGCCACAGCACCACTTCCGGCTTTTTTCTTTTTGCTTATGTGGTGCTGAGGAATCGAACCCAGGGCCTCAGGCATGCAAGGCAAGCACTCTACTATTGAGCCACCTTCCCAGCCCTCCATGAAACTCTTATCTTCAATAAACCACCAGAAAAATAGGAGTGGCGCTGTAGCTCAAGTGATAGAGCACTCGCCTTGAGCTGAAGAGCTAGCTGAGGAACAGTGCAGAGGCCCCCACAACCGAAAAAAGTTTGAGGCCAGCCTTAACTATATTAAAAAAAAAAAAAGGCAGACAGGACACAGTGACACCTGTAATAGCCTGTAATCCAAGCTGTAAGAAAGAGTGAGAGAGCTGGGCACTGGTGGCTCACGCCTGTAATCCTAGCTACTCAGGAGGCTGAGATCTGAGGATCGCAGTTCAAAGCCAGCCCGGGTAGGAGAGACCATGAGACTCCTATCTCCAATAAACCACCAGAAAACCGGAAGTGGCGCTGTAGTTCAAGTGGTAGAGTGCTCGCCTTGAGCTGAAGAGCTGAGGGACAACGCCCAGGCCCAGAGTTCAAGCCCCACGACCGACAAAACAAAGAAAGAGTGAGAGGCAGGAGGACTGCCCTTCAACACCAGTCCTGATAAAAGTTAGCAAGACCCTATCTAAAATACTAAAACAAGCCAGGCATGTTAGCACAAGCTATACATGGTGGTGCAGGCCTGTAATCCCAGTTACCCAGGAGATAAGGCAGAAAGATCAGTCAGTCTGAGGCCAGCATGAGCAAAAGGACAAGACCCTTCCTGGAAAACATACTAAAGCAAAAGAACCAGGTATAGCTTAAGTAGGACACTGACCTAGCAAGTATAAAGCTCTGAGTTCAGTTCCCAAGCTACCCAAAACAAAAAGACAAATAATACACAAATATTAATCCGCATAGAGAATAAGGGCTGACAGTTCATGCTCTTATGCACTATGAAAACTGCCAAACAAGGCTCTTCACAAAACATGCATGGAGGAACAGGAAGAAGTAGGCCAGTAATCACCTCATTTCTCATTTACTACACAATATTACTGTGAACTCACTGAACTACAGGCTCCATAAAAAGATCTGACCCCAAAAATCCAGACATGGCATTGCACACAAAATAATTCTAATTAGCTTAGTCAGTCTTGCATCGCATACGCTTTCCTACACTGACTGGTAAAAAAGCCAGTGATAGTTAGCTCCTCCATCTGCAATCCTCGCCTCCAGGACAGTGGCATCCCAATAGACCATGCATTGAGGCCAGGTGGTCCAGGTGTCCAGGATGTAAGAAATGCAGAGAAATAACACAGGATCCTGGACAGCTACACATGCCATTGCTAGGCAGCTGCCATACTAACCAGAGAAATTCCCCTCTGGCCCCTCAGCAACCCTGCTGTGTGCTGAGTGCATAACACAGTATTTCACCTTGTTTTGTAAGGGCATCTCGGAGAGCAGGTGTTATCATGGCTCTTCCATCTCCATCTTCATTCTTCCCTGTTCTCAACAGACTCATCTTCTCTTCCTGCTGGTCCTTTTCTCTCTGCATAAGATACAAAGTAAATGCAGAATTGGCAATGGACAAGGAAAGTAACAGTACAGGAACTAAGAACTCCTAACACTAATAAGAAGAGTTATTGCAAGCCAGGGCACAAACTCTGACCCCAGAAAGGTTACTTTCCATTGATACTGTGATCTAAGGCATACCACAAGTGTTACTTAAAAACTAAAAGCAGGCACTGGTGGATCACACCTGTAACCTAGTAGCTACTCAGGAGGCTGAGATCTGAGGATTATACTTTAAAGCCAGCCTGGGAAGGAAAGTTTGTGACACTAATCTCCAATTAACTACTAAAAAGCCAGAAGTAGAGCTGTGGCTCAAGTGATACAGTGCTAGCCTTGAGCAAAAAAGCTCAGGGACAGCGCCTATGACCTGAGTTCAAGCCCAGAACTGGCACCAAGAAAAATAAACAAAAAGCAAAGAACTGCATACAGAAATACACAAACTTAAATCAACAATTCACTTGTCTGGAGCTCAAACATCTTTAACAATCTAAGCACAGACAGCTATCTAGGAAATTACTATTTTCTATCGATTTCAATTTCCTCACTTAAAAAAATAAAACCACTTCTTCATATACAATGCTGGCTAAGATTCTACCTACCTAAAACCCCTCTGCAATTTAATCATATCCACAGAGTCCATTTCCTTTTGGAGAACAAGCCCACTGTGATACACTCACTCGGCATATTTCCACCAGGACCTGGTGCTTTTTGCAACGTAAGCAAATTATACAAAAAAGCTGGGTGACCAGGCGGGGCAGCCTCAACTCGCTAACTGCAGCTTGAAGGGGTGTGGGCAGTCTGCCCGCCCCGAGTACCCGCGTAGCAGCGAGCAGAGGTGGGAGGGCGGCGTGGAGGCCTTGCGGCGCTTCACCGGGATGCCGCAGAACCTCCTAATCTTACAATTCCACTGCAGCTTAAATTGGAAGCTTCTGCAATGGAAAGTGGCGCCGCGGGGTGTGTGTGCCAAGCAGGCGGCAGGGCGCAGTCAGCCCGGTTTGGTAATGCAGACAGGAAACACACCCACAAGGGACCCGGAACTCGGGACCCGCGACTGCCCGGCGGTCGGCAAGGCTCTCCAGCTCCGCAGCCCCTCGGGGAGCCCTGCGTGAGGCCTGCACGGGTCTCGGCTGGAACCCCAGTCCCTAGCCCCCTACCCGACCGAAGACCCCCGCCGGGCGCCCACCGCACCCCGTGCACAGAGGCTGCAGGGACCCGACGCCCGGGGCTGAGACCGTCTCGCGTGTGCGCACTTCCAATGCTGCCCTGCGGGCCGGCGCGGGACGCCCCCATTCCACACACATACTGCGCTTTCAGGACAGCGCGCGGCCCTGGGAGGAGGCAGGGAAACCCGCCCCGCAAGCGCCACAAGGATGGCAGCAGCACGTACCACGAAAATACCACACAGATGGCTTTTTTAAGTTCATAACAACTTTATAGAGCAGAGAGCCCGATCTCCCGCCTGACAAATGAGAGAACTAAAGCACAGAGGGGTAAAGTGACTCCCACAGACAGACATACAGCTGAGACGGATGGGCCTGTAAAAGTGAACGGATAAACTGGGCGCCGGTGGCTCACGCCTGTCATCCTAGTACTACTACCCGCCTCGTGGAACTGTCTGCAGATACTTCCTAACCTCAGGGAGCTGATGAGGAGAGCTCACAGTTGCTTATTTTCACATTACTAAAGTTGGAAAAATACCTAACTTTTCCCTTTTCTTTCTGATTTGGTGATTTTCATGAGAGACTGTTATAAGAACACTGAAATATAATAAAGTGGTTGTTTTAAATTCTCAAACTCCATAAAGTCCAGAATCATTTCATTTCAAAAAATAATTTGCATCAATGTTCAAATTTTTCGTTAGTGTTTTCTCTGGTGCCCTCTATTGGCCATGAGATGAAAAAGCAAAGAAAAACCCCACAAACCATCCCAAATTTCCTTGCCTGCCAGTAAAAACTCAAAATAGAGCTTCCTGCTGGAAGTCTCAGAAAAGTATCTAACTTAGCTACTTTGTGCACCACATTGACAGTTTCACCAGTGAAAATTATTCACACTGTCAATTAAGAACCATAGAACCATATTCCCTTTGGCCCAGGTTTATCAATTCAGTAAAAGTATAACCTAAGAAAATATTGTTTTTACAAAGTAAAAAAGGTCTTGGACCAGGGCTAGTTTTAACAGCAGAAAACCTGCCAACAGACTATGCAAACAACTCTGTGAGCTCTCCTTATCAGCTCCCTGAGGTTAGGAAGTATTTGCAGACAGTTCTATGAGGCAGGCGAATGTTCAAGGTCATTCCTCAGACATGAGGGGTTACATAAGTGTCCTGAGGAAAATAGAAGCTTCACCTCTACCTAATTGTGAGTGCCGAAGAATGACAGTGCAACACACACTAAAGGTTATCCAACAGCAGGAGCCAATTTCAATATTCCCCAAAATGCTGGTACCTTTTCCTTCTTCATGTGATCCATAATTTTGCCAAGATCTTCAACATCAACCACAGAATTCAGGCTCTGGTGGCCATTGCTGCCATCTTCCTCCTCACTGCTGCTCTCGCAGGGCTCCTCCTCCTGGAAGGTAAATGCTTCGCAGTAAGAAAGCACCTCCCACGCTGAGCGTTCACTATGCTTAAATTCCTACTTGAAAAAGCACACCACCTTAGGTCCTGAACCAGACTGTTAAGAAGACCGCACAAAGTGACAACAGCTAATGCCACTGACTTCCACACAGAAATGGCAAAGGAGATGAGGCAGTAGGCAAGTAGAGCTCAGTGAGGGAGCATGTGCCTGGCAAGTGCAAGACCCAACTCCACCCCTAGAAATGCAGGACTGACTGCATCACTAGATTTCAAGTGAAAAATGTATTACATACTGGCCAAGCGGCCCAGTGCCCAATTCTCCACAATCCCTTCCTTAGCCTCCCACTTAGGATGTCACTACGCTCAGCACCAGGAGATGAGGGAAGGAGTTAAAACAAGTGAGTGGCAGGGACACCCAACCCTTATCCTTCCTCCAGAGACTCTACAGCAAAAGAAAGGAGTTAAGGAGTGAAGAGGAGTTAAAACATCAGACCCGGACTGGGAAGGTGGCTCAGTGGTAGAGCGCTTGCCTTGCATGCATGAGGCCCTGGGTTCGATTCCTCAGCACCACATAAGCAAAAAGAAAAAAGCCGGAAGTGGCGCTCTGGCTCAAGGGGTAGAGTGCTTGCCTTGAGCTGAAGAGCTGAGGGACAGCGCCCAGGCCCAGAGTTCAGGCCCCACGACCGGACCCCCCCCAAAAAAAAAAAAATCAGACCCATGCTCAGTAACCCAGGACAACTTACAGAAGAGAAACCAGAGATTGCCCACCTTCCTGCTCTGCTCTGCTGTGCTGGACTGGACTGGGCTGGGCTGGCTGGGCTGGGCTGGGCCGGGCTGGGCCAGCCCCCATCCTTTCCCAGAGGGACTGCATACCTAGCCCAAGCCTGACCTACAGAAGCTGGACTGACTCTGGTCTTTCCTTCATCAGGTCACAGGTACAAGCTTCTCTCATGACCCCTCAGACAACCATAGACCACACACACAACCACACAGCGTCTCTACCTGAGGCGGGGTCACCAAGTGCTGCTGCGGCCATCTCAGTGTGTGCAAATACACACTCAAAGTGTGTGATATGTACACTAGGATGCCATCACTCACAAGCCCACATCTCAGAACCTCTCCTGTTGTAGGCAGCCCATAGCTGAAAACATCTCCAGAGACAGGTGTTCTTCAACTCAGTCCTACCCCAACAGATAATGTCCTCCTGCAACTCATCCCATCATGTCAAACCCCAGATCACCTGAAACATCCAACAATCAATCAATTTGTCAGTTCTTCTAGTTCCATGTTTCCCAACTACAGTGTTTAAACACACAGGTCTATTAGACTTTCCCAACAGATAAAAAACAGTAATAAAACCAGTACTGCCCACGTGCCCTATGCCCTCACACCCTCCTTTCCTGTTAACAAGCATCCTAGACCTAGACAAGACACCAGGTGTGACACCGCCCAAGCTCCTGCCTGACTATACTAGCACTTGGCCCTTACAGAAGGGTGAGAATCTCTTGACTTGCCTCTGGTCCACAGTGCAGCCATTCTGAACACAAAAGCAGCTAGCTATACCCCTACAAAAATAAACAAGCAGGGTTGTGTTCCCTAAACCTTTCTTTAAAATAGGCAGATGGGGGGAGAATGACACCTTTGGACAACTACTTAAAGATCATATAAAAAACAAATAAGGCCACAGGCACCAGTGGCTCACAACTGTAATCCTAGCTACTCAAGAGGCCCAGATCTGAGGGTCACAGTTCAAAGACAACCTGCCTAGAAAAAGCCAAGAGATTCTTAGCTTCAATTAACAAGCAAAGAACTCCAAGTGGAGCTCCAGCTCAAGTGATAGAGTATCATCCTTGAGTGAAAAAGCCAAATGAGAATTCAAATTCCTGAGTTCAAGCCCCAGTGCTGGCCCCAATAAAGAAATACATAAAGCAGGGGAGGAGCAAGGGGACAGGGGTAGACAATGAAGTGGGGAAAGGGAGAAGAATGCAGTCAAGAATTCACTGTATACCACAAAATTGAGTAAAGGAAAGGGTATGTCAAAGGGGGGTGAGAATGTTGAAGGGGTGACACTGATCAAAATGCCTTATAGTCATAATCTGCTTTGTTAAATGGCACCTCCTTTGTACAAGGTAGGTGTAAAGGTAGTAAAAAGTAAAAAAGAATAAATAAATAAGTAAACTTTAAACTAGACAGCTGTCTGGATTTGGCCAGTGAGTCAGTTTCTGAGCTGACCTTGGACCCTCCTCTGCAGTCATTCTTCAGGCCTTCAGTTTGGGGCAGACAGTCCCACATGGGGGCATTTGCGGCCTCCTAGGGACTTCATTTTATCTTCACATAAATCTAAACAGCACTGCTTCTACCATGGCTCAATGACCCCAGAAAGGTTGAAAGCTCCCTGCAATCATCATGCAATACAAGTCATGGGATCCATCAGGACTAGAAGGAACGGAACACATTCCCCTCTCCTCAGGACTCATGGCTACACATACCAGGAAGTAGGAACACACAAGGAGCCACCAGCGTGGTCACATCCTGGGCAGCAGGAAGGCCACAGAGCCATGTGCTCAGAACAAACAAAACTAACCCTGCAGGCCAGGTAGGCTCTAATGTGCTAATAGCAGGTACAGAAGTACAGAGGAAATTTACAAACAAGAATTCAAGATGGGGGAGTGGGAAGGTGGCTCAGTGGTAGAGCGCTTGCCCTGCATGCATGAGGCCCTGGGTTCAATTGCTCAGCACCACATAAGCAGAAAAAGCTGGAAGTGGTGCTGTGGCTCAAGTGATAGATCACTAGCCTTGAGCTAAAGAGCTGAGGGACAGCGCCCAGGCCCAGAGTTCAGGCACCATTACCGACAAAAAAAAAAAAAAAAAAGAATTCAAGATGGAAAGCTGCTAGAAGAGGATACAGGCAGTCGCTTAGGCAAGAGGCAGACAGCAAGCAGCAGCTATCAGTAACTCAGAAGTAAGTAGAGCCAGGTGCTGGTGGCTCATACCTGTAATCCTAGCTATTCAGGAGGCTGAGATCTCAGCATCATGGTTCAAAACCAGCCCAGGCAGTAAAGGCCCTGAGATTCTTATCTCTAATAAACCACCAGAAAACCGGAAGTGGCACTGTAGCTCAAGTGGTAGAGTGCTTGCCTTGAGCTGAAGAGTTGAGGGACAGCGCCCAGGCCCAGAGTTCAAGCCCACAACTGACCCCCCCCCAAAAAAAAGGGGGAGGGGGACGCAGAGAACACTGCAATAAACCTGCCTTATATGTGGACTTAGGACATACAATTTTGACCAAATACTGCCAAATATAATAATAAATTAATCTTAAAGAAGAAATTTCAAAACAAGATTAAGTTCCCAGGTGCACATTCTGCCACTCATTTGGCTGTAAAAGCTTACATTATTATCAGTTGTGTTTATATCACTGGGGGTCTGCTGGGGTCTCCCTGAGCCAAAGGCAGGAAACAGCAACATAGTTGGCAGAAAAGTTCCAGCAGAAATTTGATGAAAGGCAGTGTTTCGGTGTAGCTCCCATAACCACAAGCTTATGGGCACCAAGGGCCAATGTACAGCTCACTACCTCAGAAACTGGCTCTACTGGCAACAGAGAAGACATTCTAACAGGAATAAGAGCACACAACTCACTGCAATGCTCTGGGAATGACAGGATGCTGGCCTGAGCCAAAGAACAAAAGGAACATGGAAGGCAAGGTGTTCAAACCCTCTTTGGTTAACAAGACTCTCTAGCATGGAGATCAGTGTGGCAGCAGTGCCCCAACTACAATGCAGAGACATGTTCAGGATGGAGGGAGGGAAAAGATAATTGAGATGACTTACAGCCCTCAGCTTGAGGAAGGAAGAGAGAAAGAAGGACAGAAGGGTGAGTTTCTCAGTAATGCAGTAAAGTCGTATCTCTTTAAATCCTGAAGGCACCTGTGAGAACTGAACACACAGGGGACAAACCTCAGTGTCTCTGTGATGCAGTCCCTCATGAGGGTGAGACTCCAGCTCCGTTTGCTCGGGGCCTTGCTGCTTGGACTTGCACTTGCCTCTCTTGCAGTTCCCACTGCAGGGCTTTTTCTCTCCTTTACGAAGAGCCTGCAGCCGGGAGGTGAACTTGGCCTTCCAAGCTCTGAAGTCAGCTTCGATGCTACCGTGTTTGCTCTTCACCACATCACAGTCGCCCTCTCCCCGAGCCAGCACACGCTGCGCACCCAGCATCCACAGCCACTTGTCAACACTTCTGCCAACCTGCGAGACAATGAGAGAGCTCAGCCCAGCTACTCAGGAGCTAGAGATGGCTAGGAGCATAGTTTAAAGCCAGACATGGCAAAAAGTAAGACTCCACCTCAACTGAGCTACGCGTGGTGGCGTACACCTGTCACCTCAGTTAAACAAGAAGTGAAGGTAGAAGGATCATGGTCTAAGGCCAGCCCTGGGCAAGACACAGATTCTATCTGAAACATAACCAAAAGCAAAAAGGGCTGAAGAGGCTGGGTACCTGTGGCTCACATCTATAACTCTAGCTATTCAGCAGGCTGAGACCTGAGGATCAAAGTTCAAAGCCAGCCCAGGTAGGAAAGATGATGAACCTCTTATCTCCAATTAATCACTGAAAAGCCAGAAGCAGCGCTTTGGTTCAAGTGGTAGAGAACTAGACTTGAGCAAATAAAACTCAGAGATTGCCCAGGCCCTCAGGGGCTGGGAAGGTAGCTCAGTGGTAGAGCGCTTGCCTTGCATGCCTGAGGCCCTGGGTTCGATTCCCCAGCACCACATAAGCAAAAAGAAAAAAAAAAAGCCGGAAGTGGCGCTGTGGCTCAAGTGGTAGAGCGCTAGCCTTGAGCTGAAGAGCTGAGGGATAGCGCCCAGGCCCAGAATTCAGACCCCACGACCGGACCCAAAAAAAACAAAACAAAACAAGACCCAGGACAAAGACACCTAAAACAAAAGGGCTACAGGAGCCCATTGCTATAGGAACCTGACTCAGGGCAAGTGCTGAGAGAGAGGGAAGGACTTCACCAAAAGGGAGTGGAGCCTGGCCTTCACAGGGCTGCATGTTAGAAATTTTTCCTTTACAGTGTCTTGCTATGCAGCCCAGCCAGGCCTAGAACTTACAGCTGAGTAATGGGATTGTAGGCATGTGTCCCTTGCCCAGCTAATTTTATTTTATAAAATAAGGGAAAAGGACACAAAAAGCTAGGCGTCGGTGGCTCATGCCTGTAATCCTAGCTACTCAGGAGGCTGAGATCTGAGGATCACCATTCAAAGCCAGCCCAGGCAGGAAAGTCCATGAGTCCAATAAACCACTAAAAAACTGGAAGCGGTGCTGTGGCTCAAGTGGTAGAGCGCTTGCCTTGAGCTGAAGAGCTCAGGGACAGCGCCCAGGCCCAGAGTTCAAGCCCCACAACTGACAAAAAAAAAAAAAGGGATACAAAAAAAAAAAAAAAGAACCAAAGGATTCAAGAAAGCAAAGAAAAATCTTATTTATGTTACTGGGCACAGTGAAATAGAACTGTAATCCTAGCTACTTGAGAGGCAGAGATTAAAGGACTGCAGCTGGAGACCAGCCCAGGCTAAACAAAGAAAATCTGTGAGACTCCATCTCAATCATTACTAAGAGTAGCAAAAAGTGCTTGTCATCCCAGCAAGACCCTGAATTCAAATTCTAGGACCATCCAAAAAGAAATTAACCTTTTATTACATAATAAATGTTTTATTATATAAAAGTTGTCTCCACAGCTGGAATTATTAGCTACCTGGTCATATGCACTATTATCCTCTATTTCTCTTTAATTAAGTGATTTCAAGAAACTAGTTTAACAATTTAGGAGTTTCCTTGGGCAGTGAAAGGTATTCAAAACCAGAGCAGTGTGAGAAAAACCAAATGCCCAATGATACAGAGTCCTCCCAGGAGACAGGAGGCAGGACTTGACTGCTGCAAGTCCACCACTAGGACAGCAGACAGTAAAACACAATGAACAGAGGCACCAGGAACAAAGGCGTATGCGCATCCACTGGGCATCAAGCATGAAAGCATGACCACAATCAGCACTCAGAAAGAAAACCTGAAGGGCTGGGAGAGTGTTCAGAGGCGAGCAAGTACCTGGCCCACATGAGGCCCTGAAGAATAAACGAAGGGCTGGGAGGGCGCTCAGAGTTGAACAGGTACCTGGCCCACTCAAGGCCCTGGTTCCATCCTCAGGAAAAAAAAAGAAAAGGAGTAACACAAGAAACTTATTAAATAGCAAAGTTTATAAATTATCTCACATACATATATGGAAGTGAGATCGTTTTTTGGGTTTTGCTTGGTTGTTTTTTTCCTGTGCCAGTCCTGAGGCTTGGACTCAGGGCCTGGATGCTGTCCCTGAGCTTTGTTGCTCCAGGCTTGTTTATTAAAGGAGAATTCACCTGTAATTTTGCATACCTTGTTGAAGTGGCTCAGATAGGCAGAGTTTCCCAAGCCAAACACAGCATATCTCATCCCCTCCAGGTAAGTTTTGCCATATCGAAAATCATGGGCTGCTTCCTGGAGCCATTTGCAGAACCACTGTGCGCTCTCGGTGGGCCGGCCATCCGTGTACGTGGCAAGTAGAAAGACACACACACCCTTACTGGTGGCCTAGGTAACACAGAGGATGCTGAATGACACGTGACCCCACAGCACCCACACACAAGTATTAGGACAGAAAAGCCCTACCTGAACACTGGCATATGATCTTCCTAAGTCAAAGGGCACTTTCCTCAGCACGTGCTTTCTTGAGTGAGAATAAAACTAGCCCTCACTACTGCCAGCCTGTCCCTGGTAACCATGCCAGCCACTCCAACCTGTTTTTCAAACTATAAATCTGAATGGGCACCAGTGGTTCATGCCTGTAATCCTATCTACCCAGGAGGCTGAGATTTGAGGATCACAGTTCAAAGCCAGCCTAGGCAGTAAAGTCCCTGAGATTCTTATCTCCAGTTAACCACCAAAACCAGATGTGGCGCTGTGGCTCAATGTGGTAGAATGCTAGCCTTGAGCGGAAAAGCTCAGGGATAGCACCCAAACCCTGAGTTCAAGCCTCAAAACTCACCAAAACAAAAACAAACAACAACAAAAAAAAAACTTTATAAATCCCTATCACTTCTAGTTTCCTATAAAAGTTATCTGAGGGCTGGGGCAGGGCTCAGAGGTAGAGCAGTTGTCCAGCATGCAGAAGACCCCAGGTTCTATCACCAGAACCACAAGGGGGAAAATAAAATACTGGAAAAAGTAAAGCAATAACTTTCAACTGTAAGGGCCTAAGGGCACAGCTCAGTTGTAAAGCCAGGGACAAGCGTTACCCAGACCCTGGGTTGATTCCCAACACTTAGCATGGTCCTCTGTCGGGAAGCAGGACTGTGAGAGTTCTGCTAGCCTGGTACGGAATGGATCCCCAGTTCCAGGTCAGGAGGTAAATCACACTGGTAGCACACTATAGTCTTGCCTGCAACCTTTGCTAATGACTCATGACAATTCAGTCGTCTGTACTTCAGTTTGTTTCTTTGACAAAGAAATGGGCAGTGACAGCTAGGCATTTAGCCACTAAGGGGCCAAATCTGTCTGCCACTATACTTTTTGTTTTTGTCTTTGAGACAGGATCTTGCTATGGCTGCAAGACTGGCCTTGAACACTTGGGCTTAAGCAATCCTCTGGGTCTGTCTCTAAGTAGCTGGAACTAGTATCAGTACTCCCAGCTTTACTGCTTGTTTTTTTGTTTGTTTGTTTTTTGTCAGTTGTGGGGCTTGAACTCTGGGCCTGGGCGCTGTCCCTCAGCTCTTCAGCTCAAGGCAAGCACTCTACCACTTGAGTACCACTTCTGGTTTTCTGAGTGGTTATTGAAGATAAAGAATCTCATGGCCTTTCCTGCCTGGGCTGGCTTTGAACCACGATCCTAAGATCTCAGCCTCCTGAGTAGCTAAGATTACAGGCGTGAGCCATTGGTGCCCAGCTGCTGCTTGTTTTTTTTGTTTTGTTTTTCTTTTTTTTGCCATTTTTGTGGGGGCTGAACTCTGGGCCTGGGTGCTGTCCCTCAGCTCTTCAGCTCAAGACTAGTGCCCTACAACTTGAGCCACAGCCTACTTCTGGCTTTTTTTCTGCTTATGTGGTGCTGAGGAATCAAACCCAGGGCAAGCACTCCATGCAAGGCAAGCACTCTACCACTGAGCCAACTTCCCAGCCCTGTACTGCTTGGTTTTTAAATAAAGTTTTAATGGGATATAGCACACTCATTTGTTTACAACATTGTCTATGCTGTTTTATGCCACAGTGGTAGATCAAGGTCCAGAAAACTAAAGGTATATATTACCTGGCCCTTTGCTTCTTCAAACGTAAGTGCATGGGCTGGGAAGTTGGCTCAGTGGTAGAGTGCTTGCCTTGCATGCATGAGACTCTGGGTTCGATTCCTCAGCACCACATAAGCAGAAAAAGGTGGAAGTGGCGCTGTGGCTCAAGTGGTAGAGAGCTAGCCTTGAGCTGAAGAACATAGGGACAGCACCCAGGCCCAGAGTTCAGGCCCCACAACTAAAAAACAAAAACAAAAAACCCTAAGGACATTATAACTAAATGGAGCCCTTATTGGAAGAAGCACAGCCCCTGGGTTTGGCTCCCCAAAACTGGAACCATCTCAGACTCTCCACTTCCCACATAGTCACAACAGATCATGACACTGCGGGTTTGGAACCACGGCTACAAAGCAAATCTTCCTGAGTGGTCATGACTAGAGGGGAGAGAGGGATCCCAGTGGAGATGGACGATACTCAGAGATTCTAAATAGCACTCCACAACAGGGCCACGTACTGACAGAGTTCTGTAACTCTGAACCCATGCTCTCTGCTCCACCACGGGGCTAGCAGACCATGGTCCCACAAACACCCACTACCATGCTAACAGCTCTACCTTCATCACAAGGATATGGGAACTGCAGACCCTGAAGCTTTCTACCCTGCCTCCATCCAGGGAGTAACAGCAAAGGAGGCTACTCTCATTTACTTCCAGTAAGCCACAACATTGTTGCCTTCCCCAGAATCAGGAGGTCAATTAAACTGAGGTGATCATTTGGTTTGTTTTTCTGAAACAGGGTCTCGATAAATAGTCCAGGGTGGCCTCAAACTCGAGATCCTCCTACCTCAGCTCCTGAGTACTGGGATGTACGCCTGGGCCACTGCCACCCCTGCTCTAAGTTTTGCAAGTTTGCTTTGTTTTGGCCAGCCCTGGGACTTGAACTCAGGGCCTAGGCATTGTCCCTGAGCTTCTTTTATTCAAGGCTTGTGCAGTACCACTTGAGCCACAGAGCCATTTCTGGCTTTTTCTGTTTATATGCTATTGAAGAATCAATGCAGGGCTTCAGGCATGCTAGGCAATCACTCTACCACTGAGTCACCTTCCCAGCCCCTGCTCTAAGTTTTGACTGAAGAAGAATCACAACAGGACATTTACCTCCCCTGCCAGGCGATCATCTGGATCATAATCCTTTAGATTAACAACTGTTACCGGCAGGTCTAGGGCAGTAACGGCTTTGGAAAGACTTGCAGCAAATCCCTAGTAAGAAAAAAAAAAAAATCAAATGAAGTCTTCAGGAAGGCCATAAGTAACACATGGCCCTCACTCACCCCACCAGGAAAGACATGTGGTGTTCCTCATGAGGAACTCTGCGGTAGTGAGCAATCGGGCAGTTTCATCAGTATTCTCACTGTGGCCATTCCCTCAGGCCCAAGATAGAGCTCGCTGTCTACGGTCCTCTTATTCTCACTCTGCAAGGGCATTCAGAGGATGAGGGCTACGCGCTAGCCACTTTGCCTGCTGCATCAAACATGCAGTTAAAAAAAAAAAAAAAAAAGCAACTGGGCACCTATAATCCTAGCTACTCAGGAGGCTGAGATCTGAGGATCATGGTTCAAAGCCAGCCCAGGCAAGAAAGTCTGTAAGACTCTTATCTCCAATAAGCCACTCAGAAAACCAGAAGTGGCACTGTGGCTCAAGTGGCAGAGTGCTCGCCTTGAGCTGAAGAACCAAGGGACATCACTCAGGCCCAGTTCAAGCCCTACAACCAACCAAAAAAAAAGAAAGAAAGCACCAGTGGGAAGTGAAAAGAGTAATAAATCTAAACTGAGCAAGGTGAGGATGGAGGTGAGGCCTAGAGCATCCCTGAGGGTAGTTCGTGACTGACAGAACTGGGCTGGGAGCTCAATGGATGGTTCAAGATTAACAGGATAAAGAAATCAGAGACAGGGCAATGACAGTCTTACAAGTGAGTAAAACATTGGTAGTTTTAGTTAGAGATGATTAGAGCCAACAGGTAACATGGTGTGCCCACACCACCTTCCAGAGCAGTGAGACTTTACAAGAATGACAGAAAACATGGTTAACCAGTCACCCCTAGCGTGCCTAAGGTTTATGAACCACAGATCACAAAGAACAGCAGAAGGAAGAGCAAACCAAAGTAGAAACACTAAGGAAACAAGTTACTCAGGAGCTGACAAGGAACTTCAAGGAAAATATAATCTGCTTTAGTGTACAACATATAACAGAAACTGAATTTTTAAAAAGGATTGCAATTAAAAACATAATGCTAGGCACCAGTGGCTCACACTTATAATCCTAGCTACTTAGGTGGCTGAGATCTGAGGATTGCAGTTCAAAGCCAGCCCAGGCAGGAAAGTCTGTGAGATTCTTACCTCCACTTAATCACCAGAAAACCAGAAGTAGCACTATGGCTCATGTGGTAGAGTGCTAGCCTTGAGCATGAAGAGGCTTAGGGACAGCACCTAGACCCCGAGTTCAAGCCCCACAACCAACAGAAAAACAAACAACAACAACACATAGTGACTGAAATGAAACATTCAAGAAATGGTTTAAAATGGAAATCCAAAACCCCAGGATGGAAATAAAAACTTAAGAGAAGTATAAGAGAGATCTGAGATACAGAAGACCACCAAAAGGTCCAACATTCAACTCTGAATCCCAGAAAGAAAAACAGAATAAGTAAAATAAGGAAATACATGTGGAAATGTGGTAGACTTCATGCACAAAACTCTCCAACCAGGACCCCAATAGTCCACAAAACAGAAAAACATCCAATCTGGTTGTCTGCTCACACAATCTCCAACATTAAGGACACATCCTCACTCTTCCAGAAACAAAAACCAAGCCATCTACAAAGAAACAAGCATTCACCTCTCAACAGCAACAATACCTCCAGTCCTCAAGACGCAGGATGAGATCGGGACTGGTCTTCCCTCCAAGGACAAACCAACCAGATGTGAAAGCAGAACCAATGACTCAGACAGTGATGATGACGTGACAGGAACCTAATCCACACCCACTACAACACAGACAGCAAGGTGAACTCCAGGGTTAGGCTGTTCAAGGTTCCTCACACATGGATGCAACACTACTTCCCTGTTACTGGAAAATCTATAGGCATACAAACAGCTCAGAGAAGAAACATTGTTAGGCTGGGCCCCATTGGCTCTTGCCTGTAATCCTCCTAATCATGAGGCTGAGAGCTAAGGATCGTGATTCAAAGCCAGCCCTGGCAGGGCAGGAAACTCAGTGAGACTCTTATCTCCAATTAAACACCAGAAAACTGGAAGTGGTGCTGTGGCTCAAGTGATAGAGCTAGCCTTGAGCTGAAGAGCTCAAGGACAGCACCCAGGCCCAGAGTTCAAGCCCCATGACCAACAACAACAACAACAACAAAAAAAAAAATCATTAAAGGAATGAAGCATTAGAGGAATAAAGAGGCTTTCTGTGTAGCTCACATAAGGAAATAGTCGTCAGGGGCTGGGAAGGTGGCTCAGTGGTAGAGCGCTTGCCTTGCATGCCAGAGGCCCTGGGTTCGATTCCTCAGCACCACATAAGCAAAAAGAAAAAAAGCCAGAAGTGGCGCTGTGGCTCAAGTGGTAGAGCACTAGCCTTGAGCTGAAGAGCTGAGGGACAGCGCCCAGGCCCAGAGTTCAGGCCCCATAATCGGACCCAAAAAAAAAAAATAGCCGTCAGAGAAAGGCCTCGACAGCCCTTTTCCTAATGAAACTTTTGTGTACCAGTATTTGTTAGTATCTGAAAGTATTAGTTTGATCTTTCAATAAATGTAAGAACAGCATCTAGGGAGGCACTCAGTGTTAAAAGCACTTGCCTAGCACACATAGGGCCCTGCATTAAATCCCCAGAATGACAAATAGTAATTTTTATTTCATGGGGAATGTGATATGTCTGTGTTTGGGCTTCTCAGGCACCTTTCTATCATTCCTCAGGTTTCTACCCATCAGGTGCTTAAGATGGAACTGAGAGGCCTTCATCGCTGATAGAGTGATGCCTGCACAAAGTACTGATGAGGAGCACTATTCTACACAACGTCCACAAGAGGGCAGGAGAGCCCTCCACACAGCAGCACTACATGTTTTAGAACTCGAATTTGTGTTAGCCTTCCTTGGGACTCTCTTCCTGGAAAGCACTAAATAGCATGTCCTTCCTAACAAAGGGGCAGTGACATCTAGATACAATTACAGAGAGGTGCTTTCAGCAACACACCCCAAGTGCACACCATCTACCTTCAACACTAATGACACAATCACACACTTCCTTGTCTGTCAACCCCCACCACGGCTGCCCTCTGCTGTCCTTGGAGCCCGGTCCCACACCCATGCTAATACAGAGCTCCTGGGACCCGCTGCTGACAACAACTGCTGATGACAAGAACAGCCAGCCATACTTCCAATCAACCCATCTACCATACCAGAAAAGAATGTATGGGGGGGGGGGGGGGGGAACCAGATAGCAGGAACAAAGAAGTCAAAGGCTAAGTCCATTCACTGCTAAATGACTCCTTTCAGGAATTTCCTTAATATGTCAAAAGCCAACGCTTGAGCATCATTTAGGTTCTCACCTTTGCTGTGCCAGTCTGGGAGCCATAGAAAATCTTCACTCCAGACACAAAGACCTGCTTCTTTTGAAGAGAGAGCGAACCTTTCATCATCAAATCCTGAGTTCCTTTTGGAATACATTTCTCCTGTGAGTTCTTGGCCTTGAAGAGAAACAATTGCAAAGAATCCATCAAGTCTTTTCCTAACTCCAGTAGGATGAACAGCAGCAAACTCTGTCCTAGCGTATCATTCTCTTAATCTTGCTGATTAGACACTTCAACAGCTAACCTTGCTGTCTAATTCTATTATTTAAAGGCAGGATCCCCATTTTTAAAGACTACATGATCTATCACCACTCCCTCCAAGGTCAAAGTGTACAGTCTTCCCCTGGTATCCAAGGAGATACTGGTTTAAGGACTCATACATGAACCACAAAGCACACCCCACACACACTATACAGCACACATCCACCACACCACACATGCCATCACCCTTGACAATACCAAAGCCGCAAGGATAATCACATGCTTTTTTTTTAAATCACAGGTTCTTATGTTGTCCAAGCTGGTATGTCCTACCACACTCAGCTCCATGAGGGTTTTGCAGAGAACTTCTTCCCATATACTTTAAATCACCTGCAGATGACTTACTAAATACTAATGCAATGCAAATGCTATGTAGTTTCTCTACTGCTGTTTTTATAGAACAATGACACAAAAAAGTCTGCACATGTCCAGTAGAGCAATTTGGTCAACCCCCAACCCAAAGAACATGATTTTCAATCTGCAGTTGTCCCAGGGCATGAAGTATTAAGTGTGGATATTTTCATAAGTGATGTGTTTTAGCAAAGTAACAATAGGAGCTTATTCTCTGCTCCTTTAATTAATGGAAAGAGGGCTGGTAAGGTGGCTCAGTGGTAGAGTGCTTGCCTTGCATTCATGAGGGCCCGGGTTCAATTCCTCATTACCACATAAGCAGAAAAAGCCAGATGTGGCGCTGTGGCTCAAGCCGTAGAGTGCTAGCCTTGAGCTGAAGAGGTGAGGGACAGAGCCCAGGCCCAGAGTTTAAGCCCCACAACTGACAAAAAAGTAATTGTGGAAAGAGAAGATGATTGCCTATTTTAGAAGCAAATGAGTTTTGCTTTTCACATAAAAGCCAACTTTGGCATTGGGAAGGGTGGGTGAGAATGTTGAAAAGAGTAAACTTGATCAAAATGTACTGAATTCATTAATTCCCTTGTTAATTACAACTACTTAAAAGATAATTTTTAAGCCCATTTTTTCAGTACAAAAATCTTTCTGACATAGCTTATAAAAACTTAAGAGGGCTGGAGGCTTGGCTCAAGAGACATACTACTTGCCTAGCAAGAGACCCAGAGTCCAAATCCCAGTAAGGCCAAATAATAAATAAACAAATAAATAAAGGCATCTTTCAATCTAGAGACCAACCATAACGTGATTTAAGCTTCCTTTTAGGTTTCTGTATTTTTCTGAGAACCCTGAAAAATCTTCACTCTAAACTTCATTAAAATCTGATACCTAAATTCTCTACTTAAAAAGAAAAGTACACAATATACCTGCTTCTTGAGGATAATCTGGACACAAATCCAAAGGCTAATGCCCAAAGCAAAGCCCAAGTAAATGTAAAAGCGGTTTATCCACAATGATAGCAAAGGAGAAGTGAGGTCCCACACATCCACAGATGAATCTAAAATGATACACATGTGAAACTTCAATTAAGGCTACACACACAAAGATGTCCACTCTTACTTTTATTTAGAAATCATTTTCCACAATCCATCTGAAAACTTTTTTTAAGTGAACTTGAAAGTAGAAGGAAAAAGAAACGTTTCACCAAGTTACGATGGGCCCCAAAGGAGTCCATAAAACTATATATATATATGTAAAAATGATGTACTACAATATGATATGATCAAAGGTATCATAATGATTACACTAACACCTATAATCCTAGCCAGGAGGCTGAGATCTGAGGATCACGGTTAAAAGTCACAACAGGTAGAAAAAGCGAGACTCTTACTTCCAATTAACCAAGAAAAGTCAGAAGTGGAGCTGTGGCTCAGGTAGTAGAGCCCCAGTCTTGAAAAAAAAATTAAAAAATCAAGGACTATGCCCAAGCCATAGTTCAACCTCAGTACTGGCACAAAACTGTACTTCCATTTAGACATAAGCATTTGGAAGAGGAGCATAAACTGAGAAGATGCCATGTGGAAGGAAATGTTTTGCTTTCTTATGCTTGTTCCAACAAGTAAACGTAAATGTAGGGCATTTCCTTTTGCCCAATTATGGTTCTAATGACCCAAGGCTACTTTTAAAGGGCTCTCAAATAACTGATATTGTGCTCATATTTTCTAGTTGCTTGTTTTTGTTGTTTGATTTTTGTGATTGCTTTTGAGACAGGATTTGGCCATGTAGCCCAGGCTGATCTCAAACCCATTCTCCTGGCTCAGCCTCCTGTTTGCTAAGATTACAGAAGTAAGCCACCACACACAGCCGAGGGCCCATTTTTAGAAAGGAAGATATTGAAAGGACCTGCCCTCAACTGTTGGACCTGAGAGAAATTTCATAAACCAAAGCAGCAGGGTATAGCTCAGTGGTGGAGTACATGCTTAGCATATGAACCCTGGGTTTAATCCCCAGCAACTCCAGCTGAAACGCTGCATTTATTCTGGTATAAAAGAAGAAACAAAGGGGGAGCATTTGTTGTTCCCGTTGTTACATGTCCTGTTAAGCAGCAAAAAGTCAGTCTAGAGGCATGGCTCAGCCATGAACACCAAGTGGAGCTTTCAGGTCTCCACATGCTAGGGTGAGAAGCAGCGTGGCCCTCTCTCTTCCCTTTCCTTGGGGCTAAGACTGTCATCCTATCACACCCGCCACGTCCAGTCCACCTCCCTTCCCACACCGCACCAATGTCCTCATATGTGCTCATAGGTCACCCACGTCCTCACTCAGCACACACGGTCCACCACGTCCTCACACAGCCCACCACGTCCTCACGCAAGTCCTCACACGGCCAACCACGTCCTCAAACAGCCTCACTCCTCGCACGGCCCCGGCCGCGCGGCTGCACAAGCGCCGGCTTGCTACGGAAGCCCGGAAAGGGCGCCGGCGCCCTCCGCCCAGCCCCGCCGCTGACTCCTCACCCATCCTCCTCAGAGCCCGAGCCCTAAGAGCCGGAGGAACGGACTCTCGGACCTCCGCACGCGCGGGCACGGGGAGACAGCCCTCTCTAGCCGTACGGGAGCTCACAGAGCCGGGAAGCCATGCCACCCGCGGAGCCTCCGGATTGGCCGGAGGAGCAGGGGGCGGGTACGGAGCGAACGCCCGCCGCCCGCAGACAGGAAGCCGAGTTCTCCCTTCCCGCTGATTGGCTTAGAGTGGACAGAGGGCGGGCACCGAGCAAACTCCAGCATTGGACGAAAGGAAGCCAGAGTTCCCTCCGACCTGGTGATTGGTTTAAAGGGGGAAGGAGGCGGAAACCAAGAGAGCGCTAGCTCGGGAGGACAGGAAGCCGGATCCTGCTAACGGGGAGTCGGGCACAGAAGGAAGCGCCACCCAGAGCTGCGAGCGCGAGAGCCTAAGCGCTCCAGATCCTGCCTGAATTGGTTTAGAGGGAAAAGGGGCGTGCCAGAGGGAAGTACCACCCACCGCACCTAGCGACCTAGACGGTACTTCCGGCTCCGCGTGCATGGGGCGAGTGGGAAGAGGCGGGTCCGGAAGGAACTGGCGAGAAGTGAGTGGCCTGGGGAAAAAATTTTCAGTTGTCTAGAAAAGCAAAAGCGTGTTCACAAGCCGAGCGCGGGAGGTTACACCTGTAATCCTAGCTACTCAGCAAGAGGAGATCTGAGGATTGAGGTTCAAATCCAGCCCAGTCAGTAAAGTCCATTAGACTTTTATTTCCAATAAACTACCCAAAAACGCTGGCAGTGGAGCTGCGGCTCAAGGAGTGCAGTGCGAGCCTGTGCAAAAGAAGCTCGGGAACCGTGTCCAGGGCCTGAGATCAAGCCCAGGACCAGCACGTACGCGGACAGGAGGATGAAACCCAGATGGACGCGTTGCTAATTATTAAAGCCAAGATGCTTCTCATTGTTGAATTGTTGGAGCAGTGTCGCTATGAAGCCCAAGCTGGCCTCGAACTTGCCATCCTCCCGCCTCCGCTTCCCCAGGACTGATATCGGAAGAGCTAATGTGTTCATTTTCCTCAGTGAAGGTCAGAGTGGGCGTGGCCGCTGGGCTCTGCGTTCCGGAATCGTCAGCCAGCGCACGCCCAGCTCCCGGAGAACGGAAGTTACGTGAGGAAGGGCGCCTCCTTCCGGAGCGCAGGAAGATGCGTCGCGCGGAAATCGTGCCACGGACGCCTGCGCAGAAGGCGGGCCGGGCGGGCCGGGCGTTGCCGATGCGCGAGCCGGGTCGTTAGGTCGGGCGGCCCGGGCGGCGCCAGTCCGCTCCGTCCTCCGCGCTGCCACCATGTCCATCTTCACCCCCACCAACCAGATCCGCCTAACCAACGTGGCAGTGGTGCGCGTGAAACGGGGCGGGAAGCGCTTCGAAATCGCCTGCTACAAGAACAAGGTGGTCGGCTGGCGGAGCGGCGTGTGAGTGAGCGGGCCGGGCCGAGGGCCGGGGCAGAGGCGGGGAAGGGGGCCGGGAGGGAGGCGGGGGGGGCGGAGGGCCGGGGCAGAGGCGGGGAAGGGGGCCGGGAGGGAGGCGGGGGGGGGGGAGCGGGTCGAGGGGGGACGGAGGAAGCGGGAAGGGGGCCGGGCGAGGGGGACGAAGGGAGGAGGCCTGACAGGGGAAATGGACGTCGCGCTCCTACTGGAGGCAAAAGGAGGCTGGGCCCAGGCCCGCGCTGCCTTCTCGTTAGGCTGGGGTCGCCCGTTTTGAGTTGTTTTGTTGGTGTCCTAAAAACGACAGCCCAGAAACCCCATTAACCGTGGCCATTTCCTGAAGTACTGGTAAAGACTTGGATAGCCCGACCCCTAATAGCGTCGGTCTGGACCTCACTGCCCGGGCCCCGCCCAGCCCGTTTTTCCTGTCAGTCCCTCCCCGGTGAGTAAGTGAGGAGTCTGAAAACTTCCCCGCGGGCCCCGCCTCACGGAGGAGGAGTTCTCGCCGCCGCTGGCCTTCCTTCCGTGCCAGTGCCCGCTTGTACCTAAACGTGAAGCCTATTTCCAAGGTGTTATGCTCACGGGCTCTCTCCTGCCCCCCTAAGGGAAAAAGATCTCGACGAAGTCCTGCAGACCCACTCAGTGTTTGTCAACGTTTCTAAAGGTCAGGTTGCAAAGAAGGAAGACCTCATCAGTGCTTTTGGAACGGATGACCAAACTGAAATCTGTAAACAAGTAGGTTCTGCTACTTAGTTTCTTATTCTTAGTGCACACAGACCCTTACCATGCTGGTACCTGGAAATAATAATAGAGATGGACCAAAACCTCCAGAAATTAAAATTTAAAATTCTTCAATTTGCCCAGTTACATATTTACCTTCTCCCCCTGCCAGTTTTTCTGTTGTCTTTTGGTTGGTTGGGTGTGTATGTGTGTTGGTACTGCAGCTTGAACTTGTCTTTTTGTTGGTTGGGTATGTGTATGCTCGCGTGTGTGTGTGTGTGCGTGTGTGCACGCACTTGCGCGCCAGCGCATCTGTGTGTTGGTACTGCAGCTTGAACTCAGAGCCTCAACCTTTCACTCCACTTTTTCACTCAAGGCTGGCATTCTTCCACTTGAGCCATACCTCCACTAAATGCTTTTTGCTGGTCAACTGGAGATGAGTCTCTTGGTTTCATTTGGCCTGAAAAGATGATTCTCAGATACCAGCTTTCTGAGTAGCTGATTATAGGTGTGAGCCACTGGTGCCAGCTTACTCATTTCTGTAATTACCTAACAAATAGATAATTTTCTTTAATCTCGGGTGGGTGTTTTGTAGATTTTAACTAAAGGAGAGGTTCAAGTGTCAGATAAAGAAAGGCACACGCAGCTGGAGCAGATGTTTAGGGACATTGCAACCATTGTGGCAGACAAGTGCGTGAACCCAGAAACAAAGAGGCCATACACTGTCATCCTTATCGAGAGAGCCATGAAAGATATCCACTATTCAGTCAAACCCAACAAAAGTACAAAACAACAGGTGAGTGATTCTTAACATAATCAAAACTTATGTCTGTGGAAACCATTAAATTAATGGGTCTGCATGAAAGCAAGTAATAAGTTTGGGGAGGGGGCACCAGGGATTGGGGTTGTTTTTTAAACAAAAACACACATAGGACTCTCCTCTTCCCATCGACATCAAACCCATGCCCACCCCTCACCCCCGTTCTGAGGCTTGAACCCAGGGCTTGGGTGCTGTCCCTGAGCTTCTTTTGCTCAAGGCTAGCACTCTACCACTTAAGCCACAGCACTACCTGCAGCTTTTTCCATTTATGTGGTACTGAAGAATCAAACCCAGGGCTTTATGCATGCTAGGCAAGCACTCTACCACTAAGCCATATTCCTAGCCCCTGCATCAAATCTTTTAACTCTTTAAATTTTCCTAAATGTAGTTTATACGCTGTCAAATTGGATGCAGGTGCCTGTAATGACAGTGTTGGAGAGGCAGGGCCAGGCTGGGCTACACAGCTACTCTGCTCAAACATGAAACAAAACAAAGCCATCTTTTTACAGTGTAAAACTCGGTTGTAGAGCCACTGACCTTTGAAACCTCCACCCCTCACAGTTGTTACCTGTTTGCACACACACATTGCACATACATGCACATGAACACACACACACCTTGCACAAGTCCCTGGCAAGCACTCTTCTGTGTTCTGTCTCTGGATGAGTCCAATGAGAACATTTCAGTAGTAAAAGTAGAAGGTTTGTGGCCTGTACAGTAATCTGAGTCACCACTGCATTATGTAGTGGCCCCATCATAGGAAAATACTATGATTCTTTCATCAGATGACATTGGGTGGTTTTCACTTGTCAGTTGTTAGGAATATACTGCCATGAGATTCACTGTAAGTGTTGGGATGGGTTTTAATTTCTCACTTCACTTTTTTTTTTCTTTTTTTGGGGGCCCGGTTGTGGGGCCTGAACTCTGGGCCTGGGCGCTGTCCCTCAGCTCTTCAGCTCAAGGCTAGCTCTCTACCGCTTGACCCAGTGCCACTTCCGGCTTCTTTTTGCTTATGTGGTGCTAAGGAATTGAACCCAGGGCCTCATGCATGCAAGGAAAGCATTCTACCACTGAGCCACCTTCCCAGCCCCTCTCACTTCACTTTCTAGGGCTTCCCAACCAGGAGTCTAATGTCCCCACACTCTAAGCAATGTGGGAGTCATCTACCTTTGTGTGGTGTCTCATGGTTTCCATTTTTTTTTTTGGGGGGGGGGGGGGTTGTGGGGCCTAAACTCTGGGCCTGGGCTCTGTCCCTCAGCTCTTCAGCTCAAGGCTAGCGCTCTACCACTTGAGCCACAGCAACCACTTCCGGCTTTTTTTTTTCCTGCTTATGTGGTGCTGAGGAATCGAACCCAGGGCCTTAGGCATGCAAGGCAAGCACTCTACCACTGAGCCACCTTCCCAGCCCCTCATGGTTTCCATTTCTGTGCTGACATGACCCATCATGTTTTCATGTGCTTATTGGGTGCTTTGCTTCTGTTCTAGGCAATAGTGCTGTCCAGGTCCCTCCTCTACTCTTTTGTCTTTATATTGTCAGGTCATAGGAGTTCTTTGTGGACTATGGAAGCTACTCCCTTACAAATACATGCTTGCCAGTACTGCTGCTTATCCTGAGGGTTGATGATTTTGTTTCTGCTTTCTTTCATTTTATAGTGCTTGTTTGTTTGCAGTGCTGAGATGGATGGACCCTAGGACCTAGGCATGTTAGGGAGGCACTCCATTTCTCAGCCTACCCCAGCCCTTGAAGGTGTCCTGGAGCAGACTTTTTCATTCCATCAGTATTTATTATGTCTGGTCAGCTGCATGGCTGTTTCATTCTTTGTGTTGTGGCCAAGAAACCACTGTTTAGTGTACCTGATGGGGGAAACTTCTGGGTGTTTGAGTATCATGTGACACAGTCCAGCATGCACACCGACAGACATTCTCTCTGTCTTGCCAGGCACTGGAAGTGATAAGGCAGTTGAAGGAGAAGATGAAGATAGAGCGTGCTCACATGAGACTTCGGTTCATCCTGCCAGTGAATGAAGGAAAGAAGCTGAAAGAGAAGCTGAAGCCACTGATGCAGGTTGTGGAGAGTGAGGACTACAGCCAGCAGCTGGAAATTGTAAGACTAAATCACACTACCTACCACAATGGGACCGAGATTCTTTTTGGCTCCGGGTTTAAGCCATGGTTGCTTAGCTCCCTGTGTTTGGCAAAAAAAAAAAAAAATCATGGCATTATTAAGTGGAGGGAACGTGATCCCTCACTTCATGGAGGGCAGGAAACAGATAGGCATTACCCCTTCAGAGGCCTGCCCAGTGATCACCTTCCCCCAGCTGGCCCTGAACAAAAATATGAGACCCTATCGAAAATAGAAAAATATAAAGGAAGCAAGCCGGGCGGGGCGGGGGGGGGGGGGGGGGGTCAGGTAGGACAAACATGGCTCCAGTGAAAAGAAGGCCTGCCTAGCCTAGCAAGGATAAAGCCCTGAGTTCAATCCCTAGTACTGCCATAACTTTGAAAGCGGTTGTGGAGAGTAAGTAGGTTGGTGGGAGGAGGGCTATATTGCAGCCCTGGACATCTAGTTAGATTACTAGTAACAAAACAGTGCTGGCCACCTCATTCATCATAGCTCACTTGAAGGAAGCGCATTAACCAGTGCCAGTTCACTGGGAGGGGCCTTGAAACAGGTCAGTATGCATCAAGGGGCTGGCATTGTTCCTGTCACCAGTCAGGGCCAAGTGTCTCCTATGCATCTTTCTTCAATACCCTTCCAGGTATGTCTGATTGACCCAGGCTGCTTCCGTGAGATCGACGAGCTGATCAAAAAGGAGACAAAGGGCAAAGGCTCCTTGGAGGTGCTGAGCTTGAAGGACGTGGAAGAAGGAGATGAGAAGTTGGAGTGACGCACCACAGTCTGGTCAGCTCTGGGCTGGACATAACACAGTGCTTTCGTACCCAATGCCACCACTGGATTTTCATGAGCTGCCCAAGGCCTGCTCAAACTGACATTTCTGTCTTGTTAACCTTTTCATAAGTACGATGCCATGGTATGCTTTCATTTCACTTGTACATTGGGATTTTAGGCAAAAATGAAGATTCAAAAATATGAAGTCCAGAGTAGCATCTTGTGGCCATCTCATGTCCTCATTGATTTCCAAAGCAACAGTCATTTGAGACTGTGCGCTGTATGAGTAAGATGATGGGGACATAAAGGTACCCTCAGGATGGTTCTAGAATGTAAGTTGCAAGGTGGTGCTGCGTCAGAGCAACACTGGCTGCAAAGCCACATCTGTGGACCTGGGCACTGCGCAAATGCCTGCCACAGCTCTGTGAAGCTGGGTGACAGTGCAAGACCCAAGTCATTACTTCTAATTGTTAAAAGTTTATAATATATATTAATACAGCTAAAATTATATGCAATCAATAAAACTACTGTTATTTTTTCCAAACTTTGGCTTGTGTTTCTAGACTGCTTCCTAGCTGCTTTCTTGTCTCAGTCACTGGTGGGTAGGGGTGGTGGAGGAAGGGGGGACAGGCTGCTGTGGGGATTAAGTTAGCACTTGGAATATGGCTGCCTGATAAACTTAATATTGCTTTGGACATAACCTAATATTTTAGTATTTACCCACCTAAATGGATATGGTGCAAGTATTTTAAATCCTGACTGTCCTCAAGTGATGCATTCTAGAATATAACTACAAATGCCCCGAAAATAAGCATCCAAGTGTACACTTTTGTGGAGAGAGGTTTTTACTAGCTGAATTTTAAATAGCTCCTGATTGAAAAAACGTAAATGCACTCAAATGCAGTACTTAGAAATGTCCTGTTTATATGTAAATAGCTTCAACTGAAATTATAAAGCCAAAATTTCTGTAGCAGAGTTTAAAGAACATGAAAATGAACACTGAAAGTGAATTCATGTTCTGAACTGATGATTACTTTGTTTTGGTTTCACTCGTAGATTGAACCCAGTATGCTAAGCAGACTCTCTACACCACAGTTTGCCAGTGAGGATCTAAAGATGATACTCAAGCCACCATTTCTGATGGTAAAGACACAGCCAAGGAATGCAGGCATCCTTGAGGGCCCTCGGCTGACAGCCAGCAGAAATGGGGCATAAAAGGAACTAAATTCTGCCAACAACCTGAATGGGGGCAGAAGTGGATTATACTAAGAGCCTCCAGAGAGGAAAAGAACCCAGCCAAAATAGCCCTGACATCAAGATGACAGGGTCCTAAGACTGATTTTAGGCTGTCACATGTGGAGTAGCTTGTTACAGTGGTAGAAACGGTAGATTAATATACTTCAATGTGGCAAGAAAAGAATGGCCAGGCACCCTTGGCTTACACCTATAATCCTGGCTACTCAGGAGGTTGATATCTGAGGATCCAGCCTGAGCAGGAAAGTTCTTGAGACTTATCCCCAAGGAAGTGGCACTATGGCTCAAAGTGGTAGAGCACTAGGCTTGAGCAAAAGAATCTTAGGGACAAAACCCAGGCCTGAGTTCAAGGACCAGCAAAAAAAAAAAAAAAAAAGAACTTTGTCTATTATATTGGAGAACTTACTGCAATTCAAACATAATTTACTCAAAATGTAGACTTTGCACTAAAGCATGAGGCCCCAAGCTCAGTCTCCAGTACCAGGAAAAGTATCTTAAAACTAATTGGATAGGGCTATTTCTTTGGATATTGGGAACCTCTAATTTTGGATTGGGATTTGGACAACAAAAAGGGAAAAGGTAGCAGGAACCAATACTGCACCTGGAAAATCCAGTAAGTAAATTTCAAAGTGGAGTCTTTTTTTTTTTTTTTTTTTGGTGCTAGTCCTGGGGTTTGAATTTAGGGCCCAGGCCCTATCCCTAAGCTTTATCCACTTGAGGTTAGAACTCTACCTCTTAAGCCACAGCTTATTTCCAGCTTTCTTGGTGATTAAAACTGGAGATACATTCCTGCCCAGTCTGGCTTTGAACCATGATCCTCAGATCTCAACCTCTTGAGTAGCTAGGACTATAGGCATGAACCACTGGTACCCAGCTCATTTTTATTTTGGTGACACTACTGGGGTTTGAACTCAAGTCTTTGGACTTATTAGGCAGATACTCTACTGCTTGATCCACATCCTCAGTCCTTTTTGCTCTTTATTTTTGAAAAGGGATCTTGCTTTGTGCAAAGGCCAGCCTAAATTGTGATCTTATTCATGCTTCCTGCCCTGGCTGGAATGACAGATGTGTGCCACTACACAGTTTGGTGTTTTGTTTTTTTTAATTTTGCGGGAGGGGAGGGGAATCTCACAAGCCTTTTTGCCCCAACTGGGTTGGAACCCATACTTTCTGGGCCTCGGCCTCCCATGTCGCTGAGATCAGGTACACCACCACACCCAGCTACTGACCTTCCGTTTGAAGATACATGATGAACCTAGTTTGGCACAGAGGGTTGGTTTTTTTAAACTATTTTTCTGTGAGTTCAAATCTGTTAAGGTGGCCATCTTGCTCATCTGCTAATCTCGTGGTGGTATCAGTCCTGCTGGAATGTAAGTTTGGGCTGTGGATTATACTCAGTTATTTGTAGGTAAGTTGAAAGTGAACTGATAAAAATTAGAAGATGGACATGAGAAAGAATGAAGGAAAAGCTACAGAAGGCAAAGAATGTGATATGGACCAGATTTCTCTCTGCTATTACATCCAAGAGTCTCCTCTTGGTGTGGTTTACATTGCTACAATCAGAAAACAAGGTGGGTTCTTTGAGTTCTGACGTAACTAGGTCTTGGGGAGCTAGAGGGCAAATTCCTTCTCTGGGGGTCTCATTTAGGAATTTTCCAGGGAGACACAGAGTCATCAGAGGAAATGGGATGGGGAAAAGGCACACAGGATGGCCCTGGTCTGGGCCTAGCCTCTAGGAATGGATGGGAGGAGGCTATTGTAGTGGGGGACAAGCAGGAATCTCGGGGTGGGATCTAGGCTTGAGGTCCAGAGACATGAGGGCATGGCTATCACCTCCTGCTTCCTGAAGGCAAAACCTCAATAGACCGAAACATAATATGGAAGTGGACCAGTCATGCAAACCAGATGGTAATCACAGCTGGGGCTGGTCAGGGCAAGCCGCAGTTCTATGGGGACAAGGATAGGCAATGGTGAGACTTTCATCAAAATGCCAGAGCCCACTTCCAGAGCAAAAACCCTGGGCAGGGAGGGGGTGTTCTCCCAGAATATGAACACTAACAGTATGAGTCGTCAGCAACATCGCTTAGTCCATTGTTTGAGCATGGAACTTAACTATTTTGCACAATTATTTTTTGCACATTTTAAATATATATTGTATTTCCCAGTTAAATTGAGGGAGGAATAGGAAACTTACCCACAAAAATCCCACCTCCATCAATCTAGATGCTAAGCTGTCCCATGCAGTGGTTCTCACAGGGGAAGTCCATGGTGAGCAGTCCAGGGTAGGCGGCTCTGCAGATGGCAGGGCCAAGCAGGCTAGGGCAGACAGGCTAGGAGGAGGTTGCAGTTAACAGGCTCAGTGTCCATTAGGAGTATATAATCAAGTATCTACCTACTGCATGCCCCCACCACTCTTGTTTTTTCCCTCCTGTGGGGTGGAGGTGATGCTAAGGGAGGAAGCCAGGGGTGTAAACATGGTCAGCAGGCCCTCTGCCTGACTAGTGTTCAGGTGGGGTCTGGCCAGTCAGGGAGCACTTGGTGACCCCTTCACCAGAATGACTGCCCATTCCTCATCCTAGGATCCAGTGACGCAGCCCTGTACAAAAGACCCTCAGCTGCCAATTCATCTCCCCTCAGAAAACACCTCCCCGGACTCCATGGCAAGGAGACATGGCAAGCAAACTCAGGTATTTTATTCTGTAAAGCACATACGCACAAACTTCAAACACAAACAATGAACCAAAGGTGACTGCCATCGCAGATCATGCAGCAAGAGAGGTAAATGGACCCACCAGCTCTCGCAGCCCCACAGTGCCTGCCGGAGGGCTGGAGACCACAGGAACCACAGACACCAGATAGGGAAACTCAAAATCAAAACTGACTCAAGTTAAGGAAGGAAGGACAAAGGAAAAAGGAAAGAGATCAATATGATCTGAAACAACCATTTTAACTGACCTTCTACTGGATCTCTAGTCAAACAGCCCTCTTGAACTCTTCTACCACTAAGGTCCACCAGCAAAACAGCACAAAATGAGGGTCCTGCCCACTAGAACCAGACCCAGTCCCCCTGAGGCCCAAGGTCCCTGCCCCAACCCCAAGAGGCCCAGCTTTCCTGCAAACACCTGTTCACTTGAAGACCTCTGAGAGTCATCTGCAATACAAGCGATGGGCTTTCAAGTATGTGAGACGTCAGGACAAGAGATATTGTCCAGGCATTTTTTGGCACTTCCTCTCCTCATGCCCACCAGTGTCTGGCCCCACCTTAGTCCAGTTCTCACAGGACTAAGGAACAGCAATGAACTGCATAGGGAAAACTAGCAAAATGGGATTTGTTCATTTGTGTCTCTTCTTGTGTATTATTCTATTCTTAGAACTCCACTTTACTGGGTTTTCTTTTTCTGCCATCCTTGGGTTTTGAACTCAAGGCTTTGTATTTGTCGGCATCTGATCTACTGCTGGAGCCAGCTCCCAGCCCTTTCTGGCTTTAGATACTTTTTCGGGTAGGGTCTCATACCTTTGCTCAGGCCAGCCATGGACTGTGGTCCTACCTATGCCTCTCATATAGCTGGAGTCACACACATGCACTATTATGTGTCTCGCCAACCTTTTGCTCAGGCTGATCTCAAACCACAGTCATCCTATGCTCTGCCTTGTGAGTGGCTGGGACTATAGGCATGAGCCATAATGCCCAGCCTAATTCAGTAACAACTTAAGTCTAAAATCTGATGGTGCTGATGATATTGACCTTTCAAAAAGCCAAGACAAACAGCTCTTCCCCAATTATGTCTCATGAGAGTCTCCAAGTCTCTAAAGAGAAAACTAAACAAGTTAACCATGCAATAGGTATGCAACTCATACCAAGCAACTACAACAAAAACCCACCCTGAACAGCCATGATTACTGTCCCTGAAAGGACAAAAAGGAAAATTAACATATCAAGTAACTATAGTTATTACTTTAAGAACAAAAGGACATAACTGTTTTCAGTTTAAAAAATGCATGGGATAAAATGTTCTGGGACAATAAATTTCAGACTTGAGAACTAATACCCAGATCACAGAATGAAGTAGAGAGATGCCAACAGTCCCCCACTGTCCTGCTAGGGGACTCCGAAATCATGAGTTATTAAGGCAAAGATTTGTTGAGGAAAACAAGAATACAAAAGACAAATGACTGGAGAAGACAATGCATGACTTTCCTACAATGAAGGAAAGAGTGGAGGCAAGGGTGAGCCTGCAACAGAAAGCCTCAGCTTCCCTTGGCACAAGCAGACAGAGCGGCCCCTGCTCACGCCACAGGCACCCCAGCCACCACAGGCGTGCCTCACAGGCGCACATTTAAAAATAAAATTCATCTCCTCCTCAAAGAAAAACACACTTTCATGATTATTCTGCCAAACCTTTCTCTACTTCTCAAAAGGAAAACAGCCACTGAGTCGATCTGTAAGCTCCTACCTGTGGGGGCTGCTTGTGATGAGGGATGGTACCACACAGCATTCTGTGCCAGTTAAACCAAGACCAAAGGTCACAGTCCGTGTGGAAAATGAAACTTAAGACCTTCACGGTGTAGGTGACATATTTAACGTTCTACTCAGGTTAAAAGCACATACCTGTCCTAAGGAGTATTCAAAGGTGACCATTTTATTTTTTTTCTTTAAAAAAAAAACTGAAGATATGAATCCTTGCAAGCAAAACAAACAAGAACATGTTATTGTTCTTACTACAATTAATGAGCCAGACAGGTAACATCCACAGAATGGAGTGGTGCTCTGAAATGTAGGGTCAGACTGTAGGTACAGACTGTTCCCCACACTGTGCATACTGGATAGAAACAGGAACCTAAGCCTCCTCCACCCACCAGCAACGAGGCCCCAAAGCTACAGCCACCAGAGACTTCAGTCCACACTAGATGGGAACGCCATGTGCTCAGCGACCCCTCTCCACACTAGGTGGGAATGCCACGTGCACAGCGACCCCTCTCTACACTAGTGGGAACACCAACACATGCAGTGACCCACCACCCATCTCCATACTACATGGGAATGCCATGTGCACAGCAACCCCTCTCCACACTAGATGGGAATGCCATGTGCACAGCGATCCCTCTCCACACTAGTTGGGAATGTCATGTGCACAGCGACCCCTCTCCACCCTAGATGGGAACATCACACGCACAGTGACCCACCACCCTTCTCCACACTACATGGAACACCATGTGCACAGCAATCCACCACCCCTCTCCACACTAGATGGGAACGCCATGTGCACAGCGCCCCCTCTCCATACTAGATGAAACATCATGTGCACAGCGACTCCTCTCCACACTAGATGGGAACACCACGTTCACAGCGACCCCTCTCCACACTAGACTCAAACGCCACGTGCACAGCGACCCCTCTCCAGACTAGATTCGAACACCATGTGCACAGCGACCTGCCACCCCTCTCCACACTGGATTCGAACACCATGTGCACAGCGATCTACCACCCCTCTCCACTCTAGATGGGAACACCATGTGTAGAGCAACCCCTCTCTATACTAGATGGGAACACCACGTGCACAGGCCCAGGTGAGGCCAGAGGCTCAGGCTCCCAGTGCAAAGCACGTGCATCATTGGACCGATTTCCAAATAGATTTTATAAATATGTACAAGTCAGTTACAGGCACTTGAAATGTCTTTGGCTGGAATAACCAACACTGCAAGGTCTTGTTTTCAGAGTGGCCAGGCCCCAGCTGGGTTCAGCAGGCAATGATTATGGTTCAGTCTTTCTCAGAAAACGAGGCTATGGGGTTAGGCTTCAGCCAAAGCCACCTAGGAGAGAGCAAGACAGCAATGCATCAGACAGGGAGTCCAAGGCCTGCCAGCCCTGTGGACACCCCAGGAGCCCAGCAACTGCAGAGACTGGGACCAGTGGGGAGTAACTAAACCCCTAAGGCAGGAAGCAAACGCAAACCTATACATCTTTGGAAAGCAGCAGGTGAGCTGCACTGAGAGCTAACTATTGGGGACCCCCTTAGCAATCGTACCTGTCTTCTCAGGTCATGGAAGTGGCCCACAGGTGGCCCACCCAGATAAGGGGGACTCAGAACTGCCACAGTTAGGAGCAGGTAGTAGCCAAGAGTACATGGGACCTGGTTAAAACCCAACACCATAACTGAGGAATGCAAGTCTGGAGTCATTTCTTCAGAGGAAAGATGCTACTCACATGAGCTTGGTAAGCATTATCTGGGGGTTTTGGAGCAAGACACCGGGCCACACTCCGACCCCTGCTCACCTTCTCAGGACAGAACTCAGGATTGCTCTGACGCAGTTTGCTGGGTCGGCCTTTTATAACAGCATAGCAGAACATCGTGATCACCATCACGAAGAGGAAGTAACTGGTGTGCATGAGATGCAAATTTATTAACGAGCGGTCATCCTAAATAAACAAGAGAAAAATCCAGAAACATAGGCACTGAGTTACTGAATAGTTTCACCACTATTTCTGAAGACAGGACTGCAAATTTCTATCAACTTTTCACTCCTTATCTAGAATTGAAGGGATCCCTTTCACCGCTCCCATTAAGAACAGATACCATGCTTGGAAGCTATGGCCACTCGGGACCGCCACCCCTTCCTCTGCCCTGGTTGCTGCCTGAGCCCATACCCCAGGTACCACTCCAGGGAAGCCTCTTCCCTGGACACACACTCTTCTTGCCTCTGCATTCCTAACTTCATGCTACCCAATTCCAGAAAGGCTTGTACACAACTCTTCTGCTTCCGTCTGTATTTTCCCCCTTCTGTACATCCCTGCTGAAAGCCTGCGTTGTCTGCTTGGGTTTACAGGCCATCAGTCCCTGGCCCTGCAATGGCAGAGGGACCCCAAACACACCTCTTTTCCTTCCCTCCTCCCACGGCCAGTCCTCACACCAGCCCTCACTCGGCTTCTTGCCATTTATACACACCAAGCAGCAGCATCAGGCAACAGAGCAGTTTTCCTAAGGCAAGGCCTTTGCCCAGCAGAGGCAAGGGCTATCTGGCCCAGTAAGAGGCTGGCCCACCAAGGGAAAAAAGCTTTCTGGACCTGCCTTCTGCCCTCCATCCACCCTGACTCCACCACTCTCACACCTACAAATCCCCCCACCTACCAACTTCCAAAACTGAGCCACAGGAATGGCAAAGAGCCAGGCCCAAGGAAGAGAAGTTCTCTCCATGTGCAGCAAGGAGAGAAAGGGCCTACCAATACCATGCAAGGACTGCAGGCTGAGCAGAAAGCTGAGTAAGTGAATCCCTGTCCAGCAGACAGTACTGCCTCCCCCTTTCCTTGGCTGAGTTAAATCTTACTTGGTGTCCAGCCAGATCCCTCCTGCTCTTCTTTCAGACCCTCCAACCCCGAATTCTACCTTTGAACCCCAATAGCATTCCTTATTGCTCATGTGACCCTGAACACATAGCCTTCCATGAACAATGAAGGAGGGACACATCGGTAAGCCACACAAATAGCTCTTGAGCCCTGATGGCTTAAGAATACAGCAGTTGCTCAATAAATGATGACTTCTGAGTGAAACAGAAAATTAAGAACAAGATTTCTCTTAACCAAAATAGTGACATGTTTTTGCCAGTCTCAACCATTTCACCTAGTCTCCAATCCAACTGGAAATCTAGTTAGCTAACTGAAGGATGGATGTAACATGGCCTCCACCCAAAGTTCCAGAGGGGCTGGGAATGTGGCTCAGTGGTAGAGCGCATGCCTTGCATGCCAGAGGCCCTGGGTTCGATTCCTCAGCACCACATAAGCAAAAAGAAAAAAGCCGGAAGAGGCGCTGTGGCTCAAGTGGTAGAGCGCTAGCCTTGAGCTGAAGAGCTGAGGGACAGCACCCAGGCCCAGAGTTCAGGCCCCATGACCGGACCCAAAAGAACAGGAACCAAAGTTCCAGAAATCTCTGTCTGGCAAACAGACACACACAGACACACAGACAAACTTACATCTGGAATGATCACTGTGAGCTTGGGATTTAAAGCATGGTAGACTTTCCCAATGGCTCCCTTGTAACACCAAAAAGGGTTGTAGTCTTGCGCATACTTTGTGTTGGCATCTCTGGCAGTAGTGAAGATCTTATACCAGAGGGTGGCGTTGCTGTACGTGTCAGGAACACAATGAGGGGGCTGGCTGCAGAGGGAAGAGAGGGGGGGAGATGTGTTCTGTGACCAAGACACTGACCTGAGCTCTCCAGCCTTGCATCTGGCCAAAAACTGCACAGAGCAAGCCACAGAGAGAAAGAAAATGTTTCTAGTAACATGATCCTTTGGAATGAGTATGTGTTTAGTCAGAGAGATGACTGCTGTTGCTTAACAATCATGTAACAAAGGTCGGGGTGTGCAACCTCCTGGATCCTTACTAAGTATGGACACTTCCTTCAGAGTCCACCACAATCCTCTTGTATGAGGGCAAACAAGGCCTGCTCCTCTTCTTCAACTATTTCCTTCAGCTGCCTAAATCATCAATTTGTGTACAAACTCCTACACCAGGCCTTACATAGCAAATCAAGTTTAATTTGAACTTTGGGTAAAGGCCACATTACCTCCTTGAATTAGTTTCGACTTGGCTAACTAGAATTCCAGCTGGGTTGAAGACTAGGTGACATGGTTGAGACTGGCAAAAACATAAATAAGATAAATCCTAAGGTAATTCTTACCTTACAAAGATTCACCATAGAATTCCTTTAAGTAGGCTGTTACTATGTATCTCACGTATTTTTTAGAAACACTTTCTTATACAGAGAGAAAAGAAAAAGGAAAATAAATCCTTAGCTGGGAGCGGATGTTGTGCATGCACTCACAGACACTGCTATTCTGGAGGCTGTAGTAGGATCAGAAGATCAAGGCCAACCTAGTGAGGATCTGTCTCAAAATAAGTAAGCAGGGCATGGAATGTGTCTTAGTGGTAGTGCATGCTTCATGCACACTAGGCAATTCCTCAGTACCACATACAAAGAAAACGCTGGAAGTGGCACTGTGGCTCAAGTGGTAGAGTGCTAGCCTTGAACAAAAGAAGCTCAGGGACAGTGCTCAGGCCCTGAGTCCCAGCCCCCAGGACTGGCAAGAAAAAAATAAATAAGCAAATAAATAGTAAAGAAAAGAAAAAAAAAAAAGGAAGTAAGAGAGCAACACAAAACGTGAAGCAGGACTGAGAAATAAAACCCAATATGTGGAGTACCAATGGCTCATAGTTGTAATCCCAGGGGACTGAGATCTAAGGATAGTGGTTCCAAGTCAGCCCTGGAAGAAAAGTCTGTAAGGCTCTTATCTCCAATTAACCACCAAAACAACCAGAAGTAGAGATGTGGCTCAAGAGGTAAAGCACCAACCTCGATCAAAAGAAGCCAAGTGAGAGCACAAAGCCCTGAATTCTAGCCTCAGTACAAGCAAAAATAAGTAAGGCTTAATATGTATTCTAGATTTAAAACCTAACACTGCAAATAGTGGAAATGCACAAAACATTTACTTTAGGCTGCTAAGGACCACTCTGGCTGGAGGATTGGCATTCCATTTTTCTCTGCATGACATTTTCTTTCTACTCTGGTAGGAAATGCCACCTAGGACTCCTGACACAAGCATGGCTGTCCCATCCCCGCACACAACCGTCGTGTGCCTGACCACTTACACGGTGACTGGGAAGACGCTGGGGGAGGCCGTGAGCGTCATGCAGGCTGTGAACACCACTTGCTCACAATGGCCATGAAGGGCACAGTCATCGGAGCTCCAGGCTGCAGGCAGGGTAAAGGTTATATTTATCTCCTCATGGGCCTCCCTGCCTGTGAGAGAGAAAAACAGTGCTCAGTGAGGAAGCAAGCAGAAGGATCCACCATTGTCCCTGGCATCCACCCTGCCTCTGAGCAGTCACAGAGGGGAAGAGCAGGCAAAATCTGAGGTGGAAGGAAGGCCTGGCTAGGTGACAACAGCATGGTCACCACACTGTCCAGTCCTCTTCCCACTTCCAATCTGCTTCTATACATACAGCTCCACTCTGACTGTACAAAGGGAGGGCCACACCATCTTACACACTCAGGACAGGCCATGGGGCTCGCAGACAATGACACCTCAACTAGACCAGTGTGCTCTGAGGCCATGGTTGGAAGAGAAAGGTCTACTTATGCCAGGAGACTGTGCTAACGCCTGTAACCCCAACTACTCAGGAGACTGAGCTCTGAGGATCACAGTTCAAAGCCAGCCCAGACAGGAAAGTCCATGAGACTCATCTCCAATTAACTACCAAAAAGTCTGGAAGTGGAGCTGGGGCTCAAGTGGTAGAGCACTAGCCATGAGCAAAAAAGCTCAAGGACAGCACTCAGGCCTTTGGTTCAAGCCCCAGGACCAACTCAAAAAAGGAAAAAGGAGAGAGGAAGGAGAGGAGAATGGGAAATAGAAGGGAAAAGAGAGGAAAATGGAGAGAGAGGAAAATGGAGAGAGGAAAGAGGAGGAGGAGGGTGAAGGGGAGGTAGAGAAGGAGAGAGAGAGATTAAGAGGAAGAGGGAGAGGGAGAGAGAGGGAGAAAACAGGGTGAAGGTCCACACCATGTGGAAGCCCAGAAACCTCCCATGTCCTTATCACCATGGGTGTGGCTCTCCTCCCAAAGGAGATGGGCAGGCCCCCATAACTCCCTTAAGGATTTCAAACAATCCAGGCCAGGCCAAGCCACAGGAAGCCTTCCATGGCTTTCCCAGGTCTCTCCTGATCACTGTGGTCCACCACGGCTCAACACTGCCAGTGTGGTGCTAGCTGGTCTACTGGTGATTACTTAACAAGCATTTATGTAGCGGTTCCTTTGTGCAGGGACTATTTTAAGTGTCCAACAGATGTTAACTCATGCTATTTATGTCTCTTCTACATCTCCAAACCCAGGGGGATGAGACCTGATCTCAGGTTTTTCTAGCTCTCCTGGAGGCGAGCAGCACTAAGCTGGCCATGGGGGCAGGAAAGTTGCAGCCTAGCATGCACACCCCTGTCCAGCACTTAGAACAAGGGTAGATACATGGCAGAACATTTGTAGAACATGCTGAAAACTCCAACAGAACGAACCAGAGTGTAAGCAGTAAGTCTGTAAAAGCAATTACAGTGGAGCCACATGAATGTCAACCCCCAGTGGAAAATCCAAGTACAACTTCTGACTCCCTCAGAAATTTCTTTACAGCTTGCTCACAGCTGACTGGAGGCCTGGCAGGGACCAGTCCACAGTTACTCTGCATGCTAGTGTGTGATGTGTGTGCTACATGTGTTGCATGTATGTTTCATATGTCGTCTATTGTATGTTGTTATGTTGCTGCATATGTTGTATGTGCTGTGTGTCACACGGTTGATATGTGGCATATATGCTATGTGTTTATGTCATTACATGTATGTGTTGTTTGTGGATATTACACGTATTGCTTGCTGTGTGTATATGCTATGTATATTATAAGCATATTATACTACATGTGAATTCTGTGCCTGTTATATGCAGATACAATATGTATTATATTTATGTTGTTAGACATTACATGTTTGTGCTACATATTTGCTATATGTGCTACATGCATGGTATATGTGGCCAACATGTTTATGTATTTACACATGTGCTGCTTGCTCTTAGGTGTTGTACTGTGTTACATGATATGGTGTGTTGTGTGTTGTGTGTGTCATGAGAACTGTGTGATCGCTTTTTACTGCGATGCACAATCTGCCAGACAGCAACACTCAGTGTCACATTATGTATTTCCATTTCCATTCCAGCTTTAGGGTTTTTTGGGACAAATGTCTTACTGTACTGCCCAGGCTGGACTCCACTCCAACCTCCTCCCAATCACAGGGGTGACACAGGGGCACTACTGCACCCAGCCCCTCCCGCACATGGCTCTTCAGGCAGGTCCTCCAGTACGCACACTGGCCTCCATCCCACCCGTGGCAGCAGGAAATGGTATGAAGAACATCACCAGCATTTGTAACTTGGCTCGGGTCCTACACCTCTACCTCTGCTTACATTTCCTTTGACAGCAGGTCAAGCACTGCTTGTGTGCTATGCACCCCCTAAACTTGTCTCGCCCTTGCAGGGCAGGCATTCCACTGGGTGTGGAATAGGATCTCATAGTCTGCCTGGGCTGGCCTCCAACCGAAACCCTCTCAATCTCTGTCTCCTGAGTTGCTGGGATTCCAGACAGGCATGTCCACCGTGCCTAGCCCTGCATTTTAGAATCTTACTGTAGATATGCCGGTCTTACAGCAGTGAGTGACTTTTTAACAACCACTATCTACATACCTTTGATGCAGTCATGACATGCCTTTTAAATTACTTTTTTGATACTTCAAGGCTATATATGACTCATCTATTTTTTTCAGTACCACAAATAAAAAGGTTTTTTTAAATTCCAAGTATCACTAGACTCATGCAGTTCAAATTTGTATTCATCTATAGTCAACTGTGTTAAGGCTGAGGAGGCCCTTCAGGTCTCAGTTTCTCCTCCCAGCACCCCACCCCCTTGCTAGGTTACAACCCAGGACGTCCCAGGCCAGGTGAGGGAGGTGAATGCCTCAGGGGCTGCAGCAGTGCCTCCATTCCCGTTCTCAGGAGTCTTCCCCTGAGCTGTGTGGAGCAGAGGAGCACCAGATGAGGAAAGGACTTGAAGACAGCCCCACCTGTCACTACAGCAAGGCAGCACATGAGGGCTGGGAGGGCGGGGGGAGGGGAGGGCAGGGGGCCGGGGAGGTGGGTGCAGTCTACCCACAGCTGGCACCAGACCCAGAAAGGAAGTGGCCCCACACACATACCTGAAAGTCCAATCTGATGGCCCAGGATGGTGGAGTACAAGTGGGTGACATTGCGCGAGTACCCTCCAAAGGGTCGGAGCGGGTCCAGGGTTAGGGTAATAGCCACTGAGATGTTGACTGGGCCTGAGTCTTCCAGGGCCTGTGGAGCCTGGGTGGACACTCGGGCCTGCCCACTGGTCACTGTGCTCTCTGGAGTTGTGGTGTCATTGGATAGATGCTTCAATGTCTCATTTTCTGATACGCACAAGTCCAAATCATTAAACCTCAGCAGGAAAGTATTCCAGTCCTTCAGAGAAGGGAAAATAAAGAGAAAGAAACATGAGCAATCCCAAGGTCCTCTCCGCATGGGGGTGGGCCCCGCCTGGTGTGCCACCAGCTCACGTGGAAAATCACAATTCTGAATCACAATTCTGTCACACCAAATACAAGGCCCCCTGCACTGCAAGTAGTGTAACACTCCTAGTCATTTATCTCTCTGGAAACTATCCTCCACATTGGGTGTTTTGTTTTGATTCCCTTTCTTTAAAAGTTTTCATTGTAAAGGTGATGTACCTGTACAGGGGTTACAGTTACGTAAGTCAGATACTGAGTATATTTTTTTGAACAGTGCTACCCCCTCCCTCATTTTCTCCCCGTTTTCTCCCTTGACATGAGGTTTTAAACATGCCATGACAGCAGACTTCAGGATAATGGTTATTTTGAATCCAGCATATTATACTTTAGAGAAAAACCTGCCTAACCTGGGAATCAAACATGGAAGTGTTAACAAAAGGAGTAACATATGAAAATCATGAACACGATGCACATAGCAGCTACGATTATTCATTTTGAAGATGAGGCTACTTATACAAGTCCGCTGGTCATACACCCTGAGTCTTCCTACAGTGAGAAGAGCGAACACTCCTAGCACTCCTTGTCTCCCTAGTCACAGGTTTGCAGAAACAATTCCACAAGGGAGGGCACCAGATGTTTTCATTCATCCGTACATTCACCTGTTTGTTGTGCCGAGCAGGGCCTAGGGTGCTGCACATGCTAGGCAGGTATACCACCGCTGAGCTACATCCTCAACCTTCTAGCACAGCCTAAATGGATGACTTAAATCTTAGGCTAGTTTTAGAAAACACATAAGGCTAATTCTGTCCTAATTAAATAAATACTAACACAATTAAGGACTCCCTGGGCCTACATTAATGCAGCAGGAAAACAAAGGAGAGCTTGTGCTGGCCCATTACAGAGTATGGAAAACATGGTTGAATGCAAAGACAAGCTAAGAGGTACTTCTAACTCCACTAACAGTGCTGCTCACTTAAAAATGCCACCTAAATAATCCCCAAGGGCCAACTGATCTGTCATTAGAACATTAGTCCCCAAGTATGTGACATTTAAAGACTGTGGAGTGGCTGCAGCGATTAAATTTCCCTGACAGAAACTGAGCAGTCCATAGTGCAGACATGAACACAGTGAGGCCCAGAGGAACTTGGGCTCTCTACTCCAGGGTGGAAACAGTAAGAAAAGAACATCGAGTCCTGAACCACTGACTCTCCTATAGCCCTTAGAAATCCTATGCCAGGTTCTGAAGCCTCAGTACTGCTCCCCTGCAGAGCAGGGGCTGTGCTAAGCCACAGAGAGCACTGTGGGACAGTCCAGGTGACATTCCAATCACTGCTGTGGTCAAAGGTACCACGTGACTCCAGCGCTGCAAGAAAACAACACCAGCCTGTAGTACAGTTTTGCACATGCCTAGAATGGTCAATCAGCCCTATATGGGTAAAGTCTGCGTGTACACATTTTGAGGTTTCCCAACGTTCAGAAGAGAGGTAGAATTAAGCCAGCCAATATGGTTCTGATAAGAAACCCTTTGAAAGGATTTCATGGTAGAAATAAGTTATAGCCTAACTGTATCAGATTCACATGGAAAGACTGTCCCTGCCACCGAGATAGCCCATGATCTTGGAGGAATGGCAGAGCAAAGCCAGGGCTGCCAGTGGCTCAGGCCTATAATCCAAGCTGCTCAGGAGGCTGACATCTGAGGACCTCCGTTCAAAGCCAGCACAGGCAGGAAAGCCCTTGAAACCCTTATCTGCAATTAACCACCAAAAAAAGCCAGAAGCAGAGCTGTGGCTCAGCTTGTGGTAGAGCACAAGCCTTGAGTTAAAAAGCTGAAGGACAAGCAGGGAACTGGTGGCTCACGCCTATAATTCTAGCTACGCAGGAGACTGAGTTCTGAGGATCACGATCCAAAGCCAGCCGGGGCAGGAAAGTCCGTGAGACTCTTATCTCCAATAAACCACCAGAAAACCAAAAGTGGCGCTGTAGCTCAAGTGGTAGAGCACTCGCTTTGAGCTGAAGAGCTGAGGGACAGTGCTCAGGCCCAGAGTTCAAGCCCCACAACCGACCAAAAAAAAAAAAAAGAAAGAAAGAAAGAAAACAGCAATGAGCCTCTGGATGGAGACTACAGCAAGCTCTCCAAATGCACCCACCCATCACTTCACCCAAAATCATTATTGAGGGTTTTGTTCTGAACAGGTGTCATGGGAGATGGGGGACAGAGCTCTGTGTAAACAGCTGTGTACACAGCCAAAAGGTGTCCCTGTGCAGTGGGTATGGTCAGCCTGAGAAGGGAGGGACACAGTACCTCTGCCATGCCTGGTGACTTGATCTCCTTGATCTTGAAGAAGTAGCCCAGGGTCAGGAAGGCGATGGCCATGGCGCTCACACTGATCATGAAGACCACCAGTGGGGGCCGGCTGCTGATATACAGCTTCAGGTTCTCCAGGGGGTTGATACTCAACATTATTCTCAGCAGCACTCCCTGAAAGAAATCAATTGAAGGTTCCTGACTAATGCCAAAAAAGCGGTGATTCCCTTCCATTCCCCTTGATTATATTAGAGATTCAAGGAGACAGTCGCTGAATCTGAAAAAATGCCTGATCAATAAATTCATTGAAAGCTGAGCATGGCATCTCACACCTATAATCCTAGGCAAAGATGGGAGGAACAGAAGTTCAAGGCCAACCTGGGCATGAAGTTTGAGACTCCATTGCACTCGATGGCTGGGCACAGTGGGGCACACTTGTCATCCAAGCTGCAGGGGAAGCACAGTAGGAGGACCACAGTCCAGGCCAGCAGGTGAATAAGAACATATCTCAAAAAGGAAAAAGGCACTGGGCGCCGGTGGCTCATGTCTATAATCTAGCTACTCAGGAGGCTGAGATCTGAGGATCGAGGTTCAAAGCCAGCCCAGGCAGTAACGTCCCTGAGACTCATCTCCTATTAACCATCAGAATCCTATTAACCACCAGAAAACCGAAAGTTTTGCTGTGGTAGAGTGCTTGCTTTGAGCTGAAGAGCTCAAGGACAGCACCCAGGCCCAGGGTTCAAGACCCACAACCAACAAAAAAAAAAGGGACAAAGGCAAAAAAAGAATTGGAGGTGTAGCTCAATGGCAGAGCCCCTTGATTTATAAGAGTGAGGCCCGGAGGTCAAATACAATATTATCAATGCATTCAAAAACTAAATTGAAAAGCAAATGTAATCATGCTTTTCAACATGAACTATGTGGAAAATGATCTATATAACATGTGGGCAGGGATGGGAAGGGAAAACTGAAGGAAGCAAAGGAAGGAGTAGATGTCAAAAAAAAGTATACTCTTTACCTGACTTAGGAAATGGTAACCCCTCCGCACACCACCTTAATAATAACAAAAGACTAGAAGGAAAGTAAGCATGGGGATGCATGCCCATGATTCCATCACTCAGGAGGCAGAGGCATGAGGAATCACAAGCTGGAGGCCAATCTGGGATACACAGCAAGACCCAGGACTGCGCTGGCTACTTAGTGTGATCCTATCACATACAAAAGACCAGAAGTGAAGTCTTTGTTCACTGACACTGCCTCTAAGTGGGTTAACTTGAGAGACAGACAGTGAATCTTCTAAATAATCTAAAATAAAAACTACTGCTCCTATATCACTCTAAGAAAATGACTCAGCCAGGAAGATGGTGTACACTGTAAATCCCATCACTGGGGAGGCAGGGTTAGGAAGGTTATGATTCATGTTCCACCTGGGCAAAATACCTAGTGATACCTCATCTCAACAAACAATTGGATGTGGTGGTGTGCAGCTATGTGGAAGGAATAGGAAAGAGGACTGAGGTCTGAGGCAAAAGCACAAGACACTATTCCCAACATAACTGAAACCAAAAGGACTGAGCATGGCACTAGGGGTAGAATACTTGCCTGGCACATGCAAAGTCCCAAATTCAAATCCCAGCACCACCCAACACAATCTGTAAGTAGATGAATGATCTGACCAACAGGGGCTGACAGGCCCTACTGCTGAGAAGCAGCCAGGTTGCTAAGTTCACTCACTCCTCTCACGCCCCAGGACCCGTGCCCAATATCTTACAAGCTAGGAATGGATTTATTGCTCCCTGCTAAGATCCCCCAAGCACCCTGCCATGCCTAAGATAAAGCCAATAACAGCTCCTCTCATGGCCCCCGGATCACAACCCAGAAGTCTGCCTACCTTCCCAACTGTGCTATCCACCTCCCCTCTTCTGCACTGGGCTTGCAGCACAGGTCCTTGGCTGCCTCTTAGGATCCACCTGTTAACTTCCTGAGGGAAGTCTTGTGGGACTGAACAAACCACACGTCCACCTGGGGTTTGGTGCTGCTTCTCACCCATGGGCCTAGAATGCCCATCCCTGTACTTAGGTGTTCTTTCCTTAATTTCAACCGCATTTTCCACATTCCAACTGTAACTAGCACTGTGTTACTCTCAAATTCTTCCTACAGGTTTTGAACCTAATCTGAAAGTTTGCTCCTCCACCCTAGATGCTTTCCCCAAACTCTATACGCTTGTTCTTCTGGCTGTTTTCTTCTTTTTCTTGTCATGTGTGCTCTTCTGCACTGGTGTCAGAAGATGAGACAGCTACATGGACACAGTGCCAGCTGTGTCCCTTCTAGGCTGTCAGTGTCTGGGGCTGAACTGGGTGGCAGTGCATACTTAGCAGGCACTAGGCCTAGGTCCAATGCCCAGCAACATCCTACAAATGAAGTTTACCCATGTGACTGCTTGCATATTGTGTCACCTCTCATTTGTGACTCCACAGGGGAGAATATTTTGCCCTTGCACACCGAGAACACATAAAGATGAGCACACTAAAACAACATTAACAGAAAGCAATTTTTAAAATGTCTGGACTAGCTTCTAAATTCTACAGGTAAAACAACTCCCAAGAAAACCTGCAGCTACAAGCTGTGCTCGCCCCTCTGAGGTGTGAACAGTACTTCTCTTCCTCACAGGCAAGCCCAGTCCTTAAATAGTCAAGCTTCACCTGCCTCAGTGGTGCAGGCTTCTAATTCCAGCTACTCAGAGGTAGAGATCATAAGGACTGCAGTTTGAGGTCAGCCCTGGAAAAGTCAGGTGAACAAGCTGGGCATGTGAACACCCTGCTAACTCAGCAACTCAAGAGGCAAAGGGAGAGGCCCGGCCCATGCAAAACACAAGCCCTGATCTGAGAAAATAAACGAAGCAAAACAATCATGGGGGTGCAGTTAAAGTGGCGGAGTGTTTGCCTAGCAACCAGAAGACTTGAGTTCAAACCTATTTTAAAAAAAGGAGGAAAAGCCGGGCGCTGGTGGCTCACGCCTGTAATCCTAGCTACTCAGGAGGCTGAGATCTGAGAATCGCGGTTCAAAGCCAGCCCGGGCAGGAGAGACCGTGAGACTCCTATCTCCAATAAACCACCAGAAAACCGGAAGTGGCGCTGTGGCTCAAGTGGTAGAGCGCTAGCCTTGAGCTGAAGAGCTGAGGGACAGCGCCCAGGCCCAGAGTTCAAGCCCCACGACCGACAAAAAAAAAAAAAAAAAAAAGGAGGATACATTATCCATGCACATTTTCTGACTTACTACATGTGAATGCAGACACTATTACTGATGCTGTATCTGCAAATATACATTCACCTCTCTGACACTCATCTCTTCCCTGGCCAGTCACGGGCTGCACTTGCTGCCCGGGCACAGTGGTTCTCCGGGAGGTGACACTGGGAGCCAGCAAGGTCTTCCACAGCATCACCCACAGAGGCACTGCAAGAGGGATGGAAGTGGCTCCCAAACACTGGGGTCACACAGGGCCACCTCAGCCTGCTCTGCGTGGGGCCCAACCCTTCACCCTGCACACACTCCACAGGGAAATGCCTGCTCTACTTCCCAACACCTGTGCTACACTCAATGTCCAAAGGCACGCCCAGAGAGATAGGAAATTATCTTTATACTCCACATTGTACCTCGCTGAAACTGAGCATCTTTTCTGTTTTATATCAGCCATGTAGGATCACTCAAAAATGAATGGCTTGAATCCTCTAACCTTTCAACTCCTGGTGTTAGTCGTTTCTTACTAAGGTATAGAAGTTCTTTTGTGGAGTTGGGAGGTACGGCTCAGGTGGTAAAGTGCCAGCCAGTGAGTAAAAGCCAAGTGTTAGTTCCGGTCTCAGACAAAATAAAGTTCTTTTACTGGGCACTGGTGGCTCACACCTGTAATCCTAGCTACTCAGGAGGCTGAGATCTGAGGACTGCAGTTCAAAGCCAGCCCAGGCAGAAAAGTTCCTTGAGATTCTTATCTTCAAATAACCATTACAAAACTGGAGGTGAGTCCAGCACTGGGTGGCTCATGCCCATAATCCTAGCTGACCAGGAGGCTGAGATCTGAGGAGGTCGGTTCAAAGCCATCCCAGACAGGAAAGTCTGTGAAACTCATCTCCAGTGGAAAAAAACAGAAGTGGCACTGTGGCTCAAGTGGCAGAGCACTAGCCTTGAGTAAAAGAAGCTCAGGGACAGTGCCCAGGCCCTGAGTTCAAGCCCCACAACCAACAAAAAGAAAAAAAAAAATTTTGATGCTCTGGGTTCTAAGCTTTTAACATGTGTAGCTCTTTTTTTTTTTTTTGTTGGTCATGAGGCATTTCAAATGAACACAGTCACATACTTCACTCAGCATGATTCCTTTAAGGTTGGGCCTCACTGCACCTCACCCTTCCATCCAACTCCCCCGCCTCTTGCCTCCTCCTTACTGCCAGACACACCCACTGCACACAAGAGTTTACACTTACCACTCTAGCTATCATGCATAATCCCATTAGAAACTTGTGTGTAAATCTGTGGGACAGATGCTGTAGCTGCCAGCAGCATTGCCAGGCACTACCTAACCGCCCAACTCTTTCCAAAGAGGAACATACACTGCTAGTGGGAATGTTCAACCACTCTGAAAAGTAGTTTGGAGACATCTCAAAAAACAAAACAAAGTATTACCCTATGATCCAGCAATTCTACTCTTAGGCATATTTCCAAAACATTGTAAGTCAGGATACAGCAAAGCCAACAGCACAACCATATTCCTTACTGCAGAATTCACCACAGTCAAGATATGGAATCAGCCTAGATGCCCCTCAATGGGCATATGGATCAAGAAGATGCTGTATACATACGCAATGGAATTCTACTCATCCATTAGGAGAAATGATATTATATCATTTCCAAGGAAATGGAAAGACCTGGAAAAAATTATGTTAAATGAAGCAAATCAGGCCCAGATAGACAAAGGATGCATGTTTTCCCTAATATGCAGAATCTAGAACTAATTTGTAAATATACAAGTAAACACAAGAAGATTATATACAAGTTCACACAAATGCATCTTCAGGGGAGAATTCGAATAGTGTAATTGCTTAGAAAAACTAGCAGTGCAACAAAATGAAGAGCAGGAAACTGACACTCAAAAGGGGACAGATGAATAGAGAGGAAGAGAGTGAGAA